TTGAAAATCCCGTGGCTTGTTCACTAGGAAAACTTGAAATTGGCTCATTGGGGTTATTATGACAGCAGAGTTTGGCAGAGTGTGCAGGATGCATGTCCCATTGGGCTGTTTAATATAAGTCAAGTCTATAAGATTTTTAATCTATCTGTGTTCTCAAGGAAGTATGCCCAGGGAGCTTGACTGATGGGCACAGAGGGCACTGGGGTGGGACTGGAGGTGGCGGGTTCAGACAACTTCTACTAATTGCCTGCTAAGAAGAACTTATCACATCACTTCCACTGAATTCTCTGGGGACTTGTTTTCTTTCTTTTCTCCTTAGTTAATTGTTTTAATTTATTAAACAGAGCACGGCTCACCAAGGAGATTTGTGTAGTAGTAGTAGTTTTAGGGCACTCATTCCACTCAGACAGAGGTGGGTTCAAGTCCTGGCCCTGCCACTTGGATGCCGTCTCTGAGTCTGTCTGCAAATCAGGAAGCTGATAGTACTGGTACCTGCCTCATGGTGTGGTACCTGTAAACTTGCTGGCCCTTAGTACATGCCCATAAATGCTACGTAGTATCATTTCATCACTCTGTAGAATTCACTGGGTATTTAAGCCAACCAACTCCTTCATTTATCTGACCCCATGCTGTGAGAACTCAGCTAGTCATTCATTCAAACCAAGATTTATTGAGCGCTTTCTGTGTTCCGGGCTCTAGGAATTCAAGCACAAAGCAAGCAAGATAAGGTCCCCTGCCTTCTGGTGTTTATCTCCTAGGGGAGTGAAATGAGTTCACAAGAATATGAGCAAGTGAATCAAAGGGTTGCACATTTGTATTAATATGTTAAAACAAACAACATGCTGTGGTTTTTTTAATTGTGTGTCCTAAGCCTTGAACTAAATGCACCCATGTTTCTGAGATTGTTGCACTACACACCCATACACATGACTATTGGAGGCCTGATGGTTTAAGGGGACAGCTTTCTCGTGATTAAAGACACCCAAAGAGGAAATGACCCACCCAGGGAGGAAGGGAGCCTTCAAACAGAGGTCGTCACCACTTCCCCCATTGGATATGGAAGAAGGGACAGACTCCTAAGTTATTTTCTAATTTGGTGGGCTGTTTCAATTGCCAGAGATAGAAATGTACATTTTAGGGGGAAAAATCCCCAAGCAAACAGAAATCCTGTCCTAGGACATGCAGAAACTGCGGGAGGGTATCTTGGGACTTGAAGTCATGTCCTCAAGGCTCCAATTGCTTTGAAATTTCCAGTTTGCCTGAGTGATTTTATTTTATTTGCTCTTTGTGCAGAGAAGCATCCTTTCGATGACTCTAGAGGGTAGACCCCACTGAGGAAAAAGAGGGCTTCTCTCTCCCACCATCCACATGCTTTTCTGTTTTATGCCAAAGACCAGTTACTACTGCTCCTGCTCATAGAGGAAGAGCCACGCCTCAGTTAGTGAGAGTTGTGTGGTCAGTGTGAAGGAGTGTGCTACAACACATGGTCAGCTTCCAACCCGTGACCAGCATCTTCTCAGTCCCCTTACCCTGCAGCCACTGGCAACCACAAATCTACTGTTCCTATGATTTTGGCTTTTTTAGATTCTATACGTAACTGAGATCATACAGTATTTGTCTTCCTCTGTCTGACTTATTTCACTTAGCATGATACCCCCAATGCCATCTGTGTTGTCACAAAAGGCAGAATTTCCTTCTTTTTTAATGGCTGAGAAATATTTGTGTGTGTGTACCCCAAATGGTCTTCATTCATTCATCCATTGATTATTGATAGACATTTAGGCTGTTCCCATGTTTTGGCTATTGTGAATAATGCTACAATGATCGATCGTAAGTGTGCAGATATCACTATTAGAGAGTGATTTCAATTCTTTCAGGGACATACCTGGAAATGATATTGCTGGATCATATGGTAGTTCTATTTCTAATTTTTTTGAAGAACCTCTATGCTGTTTTCCATAGAGGCAGCGCCAACTTACATCCCCACCAACAGCGCATGAGGGTTCCCTTTTCTCCACCTTCTCACCATTGGGCCATTTATCCAGTTGATGCTTTGGGCCAGCTTAGCACGAGGCCCTTGCTGTTTCCCATAGACGTAACTAATGGATATTTTAAGCTTATATATTCCACACAATTAACAAATAAAAATATCTCAGGTGGTGATAAGACCTATGAGAGAAATAAACAGAGCAATGGGGTGGGCATTAACTAGGATGGTGTGCTACTTCTGCAGTGAAGGAAGAGCCTCTACAGGGAGGTGACGTTTCAGTCAAACCCTGAATGATGAGTCATAGGCACGTCCCCAGTGGAGTGAACAGCATGTGACAAGGCCTTGAGGAGAGGAGAGATTGAGAATAACAGGAGGTCAGCACGGAGCCAGGGTGGCCGAGTATAGTGAAGGAGGGAGATCAAGTGGAGAGGAGGTTCAAGGTGTCAGCGGGGGACGGTGGGGCACAGTCCCTTTGGCTATGAAAGGAGATCAACATTTGTAGCAGAATATTGCTTTGAGCCATGAACTGAGGTTTCTCTCATTCTCCCACCCCCTTGCATTTTCAGGCACCCCAACACCCTCAGCAATTACTTCTGATATGTGCACCTGCGAGGGGGAAGAGAGCTGATGCATAGATACTAGAAGGCTTGTCTTAAAGTTTCAAGACAAACTCCTGAAATTCATAGCAGAAAAAACAGGCGAGAGGCACAACATGTTCTTAGACCAATGCTTTCTGCATTTTCCTTGAGATCAGGGGCAGGGATGTCCACTTTCACCACTTGTATTCAACTTAATAGTGGAAGTCCTGGCCACAGCAATCAGACAAGAAGAAGAAATAAAAGGCATCCAGATTGGAAAGGAAGAAGTAAAACTATTATTATTTGCAGATAATATGATACTATATAAGAAAAACCCTAAATCTTTCACACACACAAAAAAAAACTATCAGAACTGATAAATTCAGTAAAGTATCAGGATACAAAATAAATACTCAGAAATCAGTTGCATTTTTACACACCAAAAATGAACTGTCAGAAAGAGAACTAAGTAAACAATCCCATTTGCAAGAGTATAAAAAATAGCTAGAAATAAATTTCATCAAGGAGGTAGACTGTACTTGAAAAATTATAAGACATTGAAGAAAGAAATAGAAAAAGATACAAATAAATGGAAGCATATACCATGCTCATGGATAGAAAGGATTAACACTGTTAAAATGTCCATACTGCCTAAAGTAATCTATTACTGTTACTACAACAGTGCCTAAGCACTGTTGGTGGGAATGCAGATTGGTGCCATCACTATGGAAAACTGTGGAGGTTCCTCCAAAAATAAAAAATGGAACTGCCTTATGACTCAGTAATTGCACTTCTGGGTATATATCTGAAGAAACCCAAAACATGAATTCAAAAGAATATATGCACCCCTATATCCAGTGCAATGTTATTTACAATAGTCAAGATATGGAAGCAAGCAAGTGCCCATCAATAGACAAGTAGGGGAAAAAAGGCTGTGGTACATATACACGATGGATTATTACTCGGCCGTAAAAAGATTAAAATCTTACCATTTGCAACAGCATGAATGAACCTAGAGGGTATTATGCTAAGTGAAGTAAGTCAGACAGAGAAAGACAAATATCACATGATCTTATTTATATGTGGAATCTAAAGAACAAAATAAATGAAGAAACAAAATGGAAACAGACTCATAGATACAGAAAACATACCAATGGTTGCCAGAGGAAGCGAGGGTAGAGGTTTGGATGAAAAAGGTGAAGGGATTAAGTACAAATAGGTAGTTACAAAATTGTTGAAGGGATGTAAAGTACAGCAAAGGGAATATAATACTGTAATAAATACTATGGTGTTATGCGGGTACTTGAAATATTGGGGTATCACTTTGTAAAGCATATGATTGCCTAACCAATATGCTGTACACCTGAAACTAATGCAAAATAATATTCAATGCCAATTGCAATTTTAAAATAAAATTTAAAAAATTAAAAGAACCAGGCTTTCTGAGAAGAAAAGTAATAATGGCCACATTTATTGAGCATTTACTGTGCACCAAGCACGGGTGTCCTTGAGACCACCCTGAGGTACATACCGCTGTTATCTCCTTTGCATAGTTGAGGAAACCAGGGCACAGAGAGGGGAACTGACTTGCCTAAGTCACACAGCGGAGCTGAGACTTCAATTCAAGGGGTCTGATCCTGACACCCATAGTCTTGGGGGTGATGTTTGTTTCCAATGGTCTGTCTCTGAACTTGAACAGTCGAGGGATGCTCCTCCACCCCCACCTCCCCAACACTCCACCCAAAGACAGGTCAGGGGTGGCCTGTGAGGAGAATAAAGGACGAACTTGGAGGTAAAAGGTCAGAGGTGACGAGCCCCCCTCAAAACACACTACTATGAGTTCCTGGCACACAGTGGGGGCTCAACCAGTATCTGTTGGGCAGGCTGCCTGGGCAGCATTAAGGGGTCCAGAGAAGGGAAGAGAGAGGCTTCCTAAAGACAGGTCAGGGGGTCACCAGGGAGACAGAGTGGGGGCAAGTGGTGCAGGGCAGACACAGGGGTTGGGCTGTTTACTAAAGAAAGGGAAGTTAAGAGTCCTGGAAAGGATGCCAGGTCTCCTCTGTGTTCTGGGCTGGCCAGAAACTCTGTTTTGGGAACTATCAGCACCTCAGAGGAATGAATCTGTCTCCATGGCTTCTCAGTGATTCGGGACCTCATCTGTGCCCCTCAAGTCCATCTTCAGCTGTGGTCCCTCTCCTGCTCAGACACCTGCCATGGTTTCCCATTACCCGCACTATAAAGTGCCTGCTTGGGCCCTAGGAGAACCCACAATCAGCGTGGGGCCCTGTGCTGGGCAGGGGAGGCAGGCAGGGTCTCGAGCTCAGAGACACCCGGGTCCCCTCCACCCGGCCACGCCCACGCCCTGGGGGGCCACAGGGAGGCTGGGGCAGAGGTGACAGCACAGTTTTTTCCTGGGACCCTGCACGGGGAGGTGTGTGGGGTGGTGGCGTCACTGAGAGCCCGCGCCCAGCGGCTGCACCCGCAGCCAAAGTCCGCCCTCTGCCCGCAGGATCAGCTCCGGCTTCCTGCGCGGCTCCGCCTCGTCGGGCAGGACGCGGAAGCGCAGCAGGGTCAGCGCCAGCACCACCTTCATCTCGGCCATGGCGAACGTCTGCCCTATGCAGTTCCTGCGGGCGCGAGGGAGGGCGTGGGGGCTCCGACTTGGCCCGGGACCTGGCCCTGCACTCCATCCCCCCCCCCCGCCCGCCCGCAGGGGGATGACCGCGCCTGGCACCCCCGTGTGGACTGGGATATTTCCTGGCTCCAGCCCGCAACTCAGACCAGCACACAGTGGGAAGGGGGTCGGAGCCCATCGGGGGGGCCCCTCCTCGACCCACCCAACCCCCATTTCCCAGACCCTTACCCATAACCCCCGGAGGAGGGAATGGAAGGAGAGCCGCAACTCTTCTACTTTCCCCCATCCCGGCCCAGCTGTGGTGCCTGGGATCTCAGTCCCAGATCCCTGCCCCATCACCCCCTTCCTGCCTCAGATACTTGCTGTCCTCACCTGGGCCCCGCTGAGAAGGGGAGAAAAGCCAGAGGTGACCTCTCCTGGGCGGTTTCTGGGTCGAAGCGGAAGGGGTTATAGACCTGGGGGGAGGCCAAGACAGGGCCTCTGGGTGAGGTCTCCCGGGGCAGCCCGCCTTGGAGAAGCAGAGGTGTGTGCGTGATGGGGCGCAGGGGGGTTTGATTTGCCAGGTCAGAACCCTGCTCCCTCCCCTCGATCCCCCGAGGGGAGTGGACAAGGATGAGGGAAGGGGGAGGCAGCACCTCAGGGTCTGGCCACACGGATGGGTTATGATGGGTTCCAAAAACACTGATAAGGCAGATAACACCTGTGGGGGAGGAGCGGCCAGTCAGGTCAAGAGGAACGCCCTGCCTGACGCGCCTCTCTTTCTGCTGGGGTGGCCCCTTCCCCTACCACCGCCAGCACCTTTGGGGATGACACGGCCATCAGGGAGCATAATGTCCTGGGTACAGCAGCGGGAGATGAGTGTGACTGGGGGGTGCAGGCGCAGACTCTCCTTGATGCACATGGTCAGGAAGGGCAGCTGGGCCAGGTCGTCCCTAAGGAACAGCCCAGCAGTTATCCAGGGAGCAAACCAGAGACCCACTCCCACCAGCTCCATGAGGGTCTCTGTCTGTAACGAAATAAATTCCAGATGGGTCAAATGTCTCCAAACTCGTACATACATTAAATATGTACAGCTTTTTGTATGTCAATCATACCTCCACAGAGTGGTTTAAAACAAAAAAAGAAAAGAAAATCTTTGTCGCAGAAGTACTAGAGAAAATTTAGCTGGATATTTTTAGAAGCTCTTCTAAGCAAAACACATTACATGAACAACAACCATAAAAATGTTTACCAATTTACATAAAAATAGTCTTTAGGGCAAGAGAGCAAAATCAAAAGGCAAATAAGTGACCAGGAACAGATCCGGTATTTTATTCATCATGGCACTAGAGATAGTAGTTAATGCAGTTAGACAAGGGGAAAAAATGGAGAGTACTGTAATTGGAAATGTGGGGATAAACTGCCTTTTTTGGCAGGTAGTGATTTCATACCCAGAAAAAAAACACAAGAGAATCCACTGGAAAAGCTATATAAATATTGAAGCTCCAGTAAGGGGGCTGAATGCTTTTTCTTTAATCCCCTTCTTTTTGTGTGGTGACTTAAATTTTTCAGAGCTGGTTAATCACTAACTGGTTCAAAACTGGAAAGTTACAAAGCACCACCCCCGAAAAGACTTGCAGGCGTGTGCACTGATGGAAGTTACTCAGAGGGTGGGAATTAAGAAGGAAGTTTATTTTCATTATGAAGTCTTTTGTACTCTTCTTTTTAACTAAGTGCATCATTGTGTTTGAAGTCTTGGAGGAAAAAGCATTAAAATTTTCCCTCACCTCACAGGACTGCTGTACTAGGCAAAGGCTCCAGGGGAGAACATTCCTTCCTAGTTGCTCGCCCAGCCTGATGCTTCCTCACCATCCCTCAGGCCCTGGCCTCGCTCAGGCCTCAGAATCTCCTCCCTGGGCCCCCAGGCTGTGGCTTGTCCTCTCCAGCATGTCCCCCACACTAGCCCCAGAAAGATCTCTCTGGTACCAGATCTGACCCGTCCTCCTGCTCAAACGCCCCAGTGGTTCCTCTTCATCCTCGGCTTAAAAGTGAAGCCATAAATATTGCTTTCAAAGTCTTCCACATCTCTCTCCCCCTTCCTCTCTCCCATTTCTTTCTCTTCTCTCTCTCCCTTTGCCCCCTCTCCCAACTCCTTCACTTGGCCCAGGCTGTCTTTTTTTTTTTTTTTTTTTAACCCAAGTGCACCCAGAATGCAGGCAAGTAGCTACTGATCAGCGTTCAGGGTCTCAGCTGACACACCCTCTCCACCCTCAGCCTTGCCCATCTTTCTTGCAAGCCCAGTTCTGCCCATGTGGACTGGGAATGGCCTGAGTGGGGACTATTCCCCCACCAGGCTGGGAGCTCCTGGAAGGCAAAGGCTTGCTCTGGCTCTTTCCTGGGTCTCCAGGGCACAGGATGGGCCTTGGAAGGATGAGAGGAGGCACAAAATTGGAGATGGAAAGGCAGCATTTGTTGAATAGGGGCTGGATGGATGAAGATTCAGGTGTTCCTGGACAAGAGTCGAGAGACTTTAATCCCTACGTGCCCCTCTGTGAAAACTGGGATAAGCAATATGGCAGGGATTAGGAGGAAGGACACAAGCAAATATTCCAGGAATAAAGATATTTGGGGGAAAGTGTGATTTCAGAGAGGAAAGGAAGGATGTCAAGGGAAAGTTCACTTACTGAATTTGTGCTAAGTGACATCATATGGCCTCACATGTTGTCACTAATTCTCTCAGAAGCCCAGATCTTTCTGTCCCCAAACCTGGCACACTTTCCCCTGCCATCCAAGCTGGATACCAGACCCTGCCTCTGCGCTCTGCTTCCAGTCCCACTAAATGGGATGACAGAATGACAGAATCAACAACAACAAAGATCCTCCCTCTTCCCCACTTCAGGAGCACAGCCTGTGTGGGGGTGGTGGGGGCTCAGGAAGAGCCATGAGAACCCTCACTCACCACTCAATCTCCTTAGGCTCCCGGTCCCCCAGGAGCTGTTGCACCTCCTGCCGGCAGCGATCCTGGTACCCTGGGTGGCGTGCAAGGTTGTACAGGACCCAGGAGAGGCCGCTGGCTGTGGTGTCATGGCCTGAGAGGCAGGCAGACAGGCTTAGGTGTCTGGGCTGCTTCTGCACCAGAGGTGGGTAGCACCCTTATGTTAAGGCCTTCAGGGATGGTGGGTAAGATTGGGCAACATGGGGCGGCCCAGGGTCCACCTGCCAAGTCCCTGGGAAGGTGAGACCCACCCCTCTGTGGTCCCACACTGAGACCCTTACCCTCAAACATGAAGGTATCAGCCTCAGCTCTGATGTCCTCATCTGATAATCTCTTCCCATCTTCATCCTGCAGAGAAAGCAAGACTCCCCAAATCACACCAGCTCCTAGGGCCCCTGAGACAATCTCCAAAGCTCCATCATCCATTCAGAAACCTGAGCCCTCACTGGGCACCTAGACCTCCCCGCCCCCTGTCAGCAGAGGCCTCAACCCACAGGCCTCCTCCTTGGCCTCACTGCCTCCCAGTGAGAGGAATCAATGGCCCATGAGCATTTTCATGTCTCTATGTGCTAAGGGATTTCTGATTTTAAAAAGTTACTGGCAACCTGGGTTACAGATGATTACACTGCTTTGGAAGTTAGAAATGGAGCGTTGCTGCAGAACCAGTTGCTCATATTCGAGGCTGGTAAATCCAGAGACTCCATCTTCCCTGGAGGTAAGAAATCGGTTGTAAATCTATAGAATCTGTAGACTTTGCCTCCCCAAAGGATTTGTTTATGCTCCAAAGCAATAACAATCTCTTTCTCTTCCCCTCTTCCTTCCTCCCTCCCCACCACAGGGAAGAAAGGACAGATAGGTCTGCTGACTTATGTAACTTCCAATATTGAAACTGTGCAGCTACCTCTCTTGAGATGCAAGCAGTGCTGTGTATCCAGGTAAAAGCATCGTGCAGCCCTCAGAATAATTTGGGAACAGGGAACCAGAGCTACAGTCCTACTCTGGCTACCATTACTGTGATGAGTAATGAATGGGCTGCTCTGATCCACGGTTCTGATAAAAGTCTCAGGCCCTTCACAGTGTCAGACTGAGCAACCCCCTACAGACTGCACTGCACACAGTCATCTCTAAAACTTATTGCTGACTCATCCCTCCCTTCCTCAAGCACTCGCCATGGCTCCCCAGTGCCCTCTGCGTCAAATCCATTTTTCAGTCCAACATTTGAGCCTTGGCCGGTGTGGCTCAGTGGCTGAGTGCTGGCCTGCAAAACAAGAGGTGACTGGTTCGATTCCTAGTGAAGGCACATGCCTGGGTTGCAGGCCAGTCCCCAGTTGGGGGCATGTAATCAGTGTTTCTCTGACACATTATTGTTTCTCTCCCTCTCTTTCTCCCTTCTTTCTCCTTCTCTAAAAATAAATAAATAAAATCTTTAAAATAATCTGACATTTGAAATCAAGGTCCCTTCTATCTCTTTAATTCAGATGCGAGAAATGCCCACCTTGGTCAGCAGGAGCACATCGATGAAATCCAAGGTCTTGGTCGTAGCCTTGGCTTCCAGAAAGTCATCAACACCCTGATCAGGGAGGGTGCGGCGCCTCTCCTGGATGATGGCGTCTGTGAAGTCATGCACCAGGCGGCAGGCCCGACGGAAGCGCCGTCCATCAGGGGTGAGGTGGTACAGGAAGTCCAAGTACAGAAAGAGCTGATTATGCCGTTTGGTCACCAGGGCACTGAGCTCCAAGATGGCAGCAATGTATTCACTGGGCTTCCTGCAGGATGAGGGCAGGTAGAGCAGCCACAGGTTAGCTCACCGAAGCCCACGGTAGACCTCCCACCAGAAGCCAGAGTGACCTCCCACTAGGAAACGGAGTGTCCAGGAACAGATGGCCCCACAGACACATGGAGGGGAGAGTCCAGGAGACACAGCCCTGTGGACTTTCTTCTCTCCCTGCATCCTATCCCCATGCGCTGCCTCCATGGCCCAGGCACCCAGAGATGGCTCAGATGCATGCTCCTCTCCCCCGTCTCCCACCCAGACCCGCCCCTCTCTGTCCCAGACTTTCCACACAGCTCAGACTGTGTCCTCTCCTAACTGGTCAGTGGGCCCAGCCCCTCACTTGTCTCCTTGCATTCAGTGCCAATACCTTTCCAATGTCTACACAACAGTTAGTCTTCTCTAGAGTCACACGTCCAAGCTCAGTTTTGGCCACAACCCTCATCTGCTTGAACACCTGCCATGGCTCCCTGGATAAAGTTCATACCTCTTTGCCTGTCTTTGGAATGTCATTAAGATCCAGCCCCTGCCCAGCCCTCCCACCTCATTTCCAAGATGTCCCATCACAGGTACACACACTCTGCTCGTTCTAGTCTCCTGGCTCTTATCAAGCATTTCTTCCTACCTGAGAGATCACTCTTTCTCTTTCCCCATCCTTGCCCTTCAATGTCCAGCTCTGACCCACCTCCTCCAGGAACACCCTTGTGATTACCCTGGTCAGTCCTCCCTCCATCTACTCCCTTGGGGTTGTAGCTCATGTTCCCAGGCTCTGGGCCGAGACTCACTCCTGGCAATTGCTGTCAAAACTGAAGACACATTTCTGCAGACTGTCCAGGGTCATGAGGCTGATGTGCTCAAACATGTCCAGACGAGTGTTGCCTTCTGAGGCTAGGCACTGCCACTTGGCCTGGACAGAGAAGGGGACAGAACGGGGCCTTCTCTGAGCCCTTCCCCCAGCCCAACCACCTACATGGACCCCCCCAGACCCTGCCTCTTGGTCCTCTGCCCCAGGCACCCATCCCCAGGGAGGACCAGGTGTGAGTGGGAGTGGAATCTGTTACTCTTAGGACATGAAGACCCCATGGCTGGGAGTCAGGAGACCTGGGTCCAAGGTTCAGCTCTGCTTCTTATGCTCCGTGTTCCCTTTGTCAACTCATTGCACTCCTCTGGGCTCCACCTATTAAATCTTGAGTACTAGTAAGATGACCTGCTTTGGTGTCAAATAAACCAGGTTGGAACCCCAGATCCATTTATTAGCTCATTTGCTAGATGGGTGAACATGGGTAAGCCTCCTAACTAATATGAGACTCGATTTAATCATCCGTGACAGGGAAAAAAGAATCTCCACCTTGCAGAGTGGTAAAAATTAAAGACAAAGTATGTAATGGAATTGGCACATTATATCTGCCATACAGTATATACTCAATGAATGTAAGCTTTCACCATATTTGTTGTTATAAATTGACTAGGAAAATGTTCCTTGTGTTGGGAGAGTTAACCTTTTGTGGTCCCTGGCACCCCTGCACATTCTTGATAAATATGCCAAAACTGCATGGTCCTGGTGTTCTTTACCTGGGCCATCTCTCAGAGTTGTGTTTGCTGTCAAAAGCCTTGAAGGATGAGATAATATCTTCCCCTGGACAAATATCAGGCTTTCTTCCAATTGCTATAAAAGTTAGAGAGCCTGAACTTGGTGCCCCCCCCCCCATAATGCAATATACTGCACGAGCAGGCATCCACTTAAGCCCACCTGTGTCATCACCTGAGATTTAGTGACTTGGAGAAAGAATGTAAACCCATACAGGCACATGCAGCTCACTGTGTCCTGAGTTATCAACTGTGCTTTGTCTCTTACCCAGAACTCTCATGTCTTCTAGCAGAATCCACAAAGCAGTAACAAGCTCACTTGTCAGCTTGCAAGTGAAAAGGTTTTGTGAAGTGCTGGGAAAAATCCCAGGCACTTCACAAAACCTTACCTCCAATTCCTCACTTCCCTTTCTAAATCCCCATGCTTTGCAACATGAGTTTTCATCAACTCCGCTAGGAGTTGGAGCCTATTGCACTACCCTTTCTGTGCTGGCCTTTTGACTTGCTTTGGCCAATAGACAGTGGTGAGAATAGGGAGGTGATGACCCACCCTGAGCCTAGATCTCAGGAGGCACTGCAGCCTCCTCTCAGTCTCTAGGAACCCTGCCTCCACCATGTGAACAGACTGAGACATCCAAGAAGGAAAGAGAGGGAGACTCTCATGAACAAAGTGCAGCTGTGCCAGCTGAGACCATCCTAGGTCAAGCCAGCTGAGGCCTAATCGTGTGAAAGGACTGAGCCCAGATCAGCAAAGCTACCCACAGCTGATCACAAGTACATGAATAACCTCATCCACATGCAGAGGACCCAGCCAACTGACTCACAGACTTGTTGACAATAATAAGCCCCTACTGTTTTCAAATGGTTTGTTACTCAGCAGTAACTACCGTGTAGCATTCATCATTATCATCGAGCATGTCTCAGGACTCCAAGGCTTCTGTGAGGGAAACAGAAATGAATGCCTTCCGAACACCGACTATGTATCAGGGACATAGCTCCATGAAGTCATCCTGACCACACTACAAAATGACAGCTGTTATTCCAATTTTACTGCTGAGGAAACTGAGGCTCAGAAAGGAAGAGCAATGGCTCAGAAACCAACCAGAAGAGCAAGAATTCCAGACAAGATGCCTCTGAGTCCCCGTTATCCCTGAGGCTACAGCTGGGACCCTGAATTCAAGAGACTCACGTGCATGATGTCTGCACTCTTGCTGAAAATCTTCACATAGGGCTTCAGGATGTTAAAGTGGAAGGCGGGTGTCAGCAGACGGCGGTGGCGGCTCCACTTGTCACCAGCACTCAGCAAAAGCCCATCTCCTAGTACAGGCAGCCACAGGGAGTGGGCAGGGGCAGCATCTTCTCCTGGCCCCCCAAGGGTCCCCATCCCCCTCAGTTACTCACCCAGCCAAGCCTTCAGGAATCTGTAGAAGACCATATCCTTGGGTGCGATGGCAGCTGACATGAATGAAGACCATCAGGGGCCATGCAGAGGGGGAGGAGAGGGACTCTTGCAGCGGGGAGGAGGCACCCAGCATAGCAGAATGGGACAAACGCAGAGGAAACAGTGAGGAAGGGGGAGGTGAGGGCCATGACACAGAGCAGAGCAAGGCAGAGCCCAAAGACACACGTCTATGTGCTTAGAAACACCCCAACATGGCACGACATGCCCAGCACACCTTGACATGGCTCCTACATGATCCAACATGTTCTACACACCCAAACACAACCCCGTGCTCTACCAGGTGTCCTTACAGGGGCCTCAGAAACCCCATCTACCTCAGCACACTCTTTGAAATCTCCCAGGACCCCGGACATGACCCAACATGTATTGACATGTCATGCATGGCTCAAACATGCATGGTGACCCTGACCTGATGCAACATATTCCGACATGGATACAAAGACAATCTGACATGACCTCAATGTGTGCCACAGATGAGACCCAGATAGGACTTAAAAGTGGTCCCATTAATGTCACAAATGTGGACCAGGCGTGACCCAGACATACCCTATGACCTGCCTTGAACAAGACTCACATAAGGTCTCAGACATGTCTTAGAGGGACAAAACAAGAACATGGCCCAGGCATGACCGGACAATCTCAAAAGGCATCTCAGACAAGCAGCACACAGTCTCCAACAGGCCTCTAGTGTCCCTGGCCACAGCTGAGCCCCAGACACAACTGAGGCTGTCTCTGTTCAATCCCAGGTGTAAACAAGTATCAGATACAACTAGGGCACAGGGGGAAACACAAATGTGGCCAGGCATGGCCAAAGAGAAGGCACCACACAGACACACCCTCAGCGTGAGCAGACATGACTAGAGGGCGGGAGGTGGGGGTCCCGGCAAGACAGAGGCAGCAGCATCTTAGTCACAGCCTCTCCTGCCTGCACCCAGGTCACCTGCCCAGCTGGAGGCAGCACAGAGATCTCAGCAGTGAGCAAGCTGTGGCCAGAGGGATGTCTACCTGGAGCAAAGAGCACAGGTTTGATGCAGGTGGGATGGAAGATACGGACGACGGCGTGCCAGGGCCCCACCCACCAGCAGCACACATCCCCATAGGTGCTTGCCAGGCCCTGTGTGTACAGGAGACCTTCCTCCGAGCTCCGAATCTGGAGAGGAAAAAAGGAACCAATTCACACTCCTCTGGGTGGCCAAAGGGAAGACCGCTCAGGACAGAGACCCAGACCTGAGCCCCAGGAATCTTATCCTGCAGGTCATCCTGTTCCTGGGGTCCCCCCGCCAACTCCCTTACACAGAGACAATCAGGGTCTTTTCTCATTTGGATTCCAAACACCACATTCACCTGACTCCTCTTTTGTTCCCATTTTCCAGATAAGGAAACTGAGGTTTGGAACAATGAAGACACTTGCCCACAGTCTCCCAGACAGTGGGTGGCATGCCTGAGACCTGAGCCCAGGTCTGTCTGCATCCAGGTCCTGAGTTCTCAACTATAGAACTCCTCTGAACTTCAAGACAATAACTCTGAGAACCCTATGCCTGCCTGGACTGGGCAGTCAGAGTGGCAGTAACTGGAGGAGGAAGTGGCCTAAGCCAGGCCAATTAAAGTAAATCTTGCAACTTTGCCTGGAACTGTCAGGAACAAGCTCACTTTTCCATGGGGGTTGAGCTTCTGGGATTCACCTTCACCAGCGTGAGAGTGAAGAGATCACAGAGGAAAACAACTAAAAAAAAATTAAGACAGAGTCCTGATAACATTGTTTGACCCCTGGACCCAGCTGTGCCTGAAGGCATTGTCCATGGACTTGACAGTGGATCGATTCCCTTTCTTTGCTTAGACCACTCAGGTTTGAGTTTCCACCATTCAGAACTGAAAGAGACCTCAGCAATCAAGGAGAACCCAGAGTCACCCAGAACTTCGGTTCAGAGCCAAGCTCTCTGTCCAATGCTGCCTTTTTCCTACTCAGCCTGAGCTATGTGGGGGTGAGAAAGGCAGAGAGCAAAAAGCTGGGGTCGATTTTCCTTGGAGACCTTCCCAGGGCCTCCAGCCAGAGGGCAATCAATTTGAAGTGCAGGAGCCGCAGGGTAGGGCAGAATGAACAGACCCGCCAGAGGTGGACATCACAGAAAGAGCAAGCCCTCGTTGCTCTGGGCCCTGGGGGAGGGGAGAAGGGGCAGATCTGGGATGTGGAGGCCTGGGGTGCCAGCAATGTCTGCTGCTTCATCTACCCTCTGCTTCAAAAAATCTCTACTCATTGTTCCAGACCCAGTTCCAGGAACTGCTCCTGCAGGAGGCCTTCCAGGCTGCCACAGCCTGCCTCTGGCCACCTCCTGACCACCCCAGTTCAGGGGTCCCCCTGTCCCTATGTGCCTCCTCAAGACTGGGAGCTCCTCCAGAACAGAATCTTGGATTGAAGCCTTTTGGGGTCCCAGCGGTGCCCAGGACACCAAAGCAGAAAGCAGACGGCGTTGGAGGGAGGAGGAAGTGAGATGCGGGATTGAATACAGGGAGAAAAGAGGAAGATGCTAAGAGAGAGGAAGAGGGCCAGGTCCTGCCAGGCCACACAGAAGCATGGCATGGAGGAGCTAGAAGCCTCAGATGTGCCACAGCACCCACCACCACGAGCTCTGTCAGTACCTGAGGTGCTGACAGCCTGGATCCTGTCTGGGTGGCAGAAAGGGTGAGAGGTTAGATGGGGCCCTGCCATATCTAAGTCCCTGGGAGTAGGTGGTGAGCAGTCAAGTAACATCCCTCATGCCCTGTTCATTGTGGGGGACCTGAAAGAGAAGCAGGGCTGTCACTCCTCCAAAGGAGCCCTGTGGCCTCCGTAGCAGGCAGCATGTCTGGATTTTGTGTGGCTGAAGAAGATCTGCCTCTTCCGCTTTTTCTCTCTCAGCGCAGGTGGGTCCTAGAGGCCTCCCCACATCCTCAGGGTGCACCCCAGGACTCAGCAAGAAGACCTGCTCTCTGCCCAAGAGGCCAACCTTGGCTCAGAAGATGCATTTTTCTTGTCCTGGGTGTGGTTGCAGGCCTGGGGCTGGGGACCACAGGGAAGGTCCTCTGGGGGAGGTTTGTGGGCAGTGCAGTGGCCTCAGGATTTGTCCCTGAGTCTGGGTCCCATAACCTTTCATGTCCTAGCTGGTCCACACGGCCTTCAGTTTCTCAAATGGTGAAGGTCTGCAGACCCGGGACCCTCCAGCCCCAGCAAACCCCAAAGGACAGATGTGAACTCTGCCCAGTGATCAGAAGGGTGGCTCCCACCTGTGAGCACCTTCTGCCAGCCAATGTGTCCTCTCTGTCTATCTTGTATCATAATGCACCACGTCTGTCAGTCTGTCTACCTTCCTAATAGTGGGTCCTGCCTACCCACCTATCTGTCTATGTATCAAAGTTTATCCTTTCTGTCTCTCTAGCTATCTCTCTCCTCGGCCTATGGACACACCCACCACTCATGCTATTCGGAAATGAAGAAACTGAGGCCACATCTCCCCGGTGGAGGAGGAAGATGGATCACCTGCTGGTGTAGCGTCCTCTCCAGTACCTCAAGATGCCCCATCAGAGCCTGACAAAGACCCCCGATGCTCCAGGCAGGAGAGCATAAGTTGTTGTCACCCTAGTGATCTGCTCCTTCGGGCCTAAGGAACATGAGGGGAAGATTACAAGCCCTTGATGTAACTGGTTCGAAGAGAAAGAGTGACTCAGCTGAGGTCACACAGCAGAAGAGCTGGAGGAGAAAGAGTGGACTAGGCCAGCTCCCGTGGTCAAGCCTACACAGGGGGCGCCAGAATGGCCGTAACTTCCATTCCAAGGCCCAGAATCTCAGGCACATTCACACTGAGCTTGGGAATGTCCCATTGTGACCTAGGCCATAACGAGTAGTAAAATCACAGGAACTCCTTCCCCAAGCTGTAGTTCTAATCCCAGGCAGGAAAGGAAAGCTGGTCTGAGGGTGGACATTCATCCTTTTGACCTTGATCAAGGGAGGGGACCTCAAAGTTATCACATAAGGGCTCAAATGAAGTCTCTGATGTATGCCAGCCTCTGGGCTGGGAACTACTGATACAGCGTCTTCTCCCCAGAGCAACCATCAAGTTGGAGAGCCAGATAATAAGTAATTAAACAATTAACTGTGTAATTAAGAAGGAGCAGGACCCAGTCAAAGGTCCAAGCCTGGGGTGTGGGTGAGGGGTTGAAGAGGGCTTCCGAAAAGAGATGTGAGAGGCCAACTAACCAGGCTGTGCAACAGGCCCGTTGAGACATCTTAGAAGGGAAGTGTAAGACAAGAGGAAGGTGTGCCAGGAAGGGGAGGGGAGGGGGAGATGAGTCCTTGGGGGTGGGGGTGAACAGACACAGGAAAATGGACCAGTCACAGAAAGCAAAACTTGGAGATTGGCCCTGAGGTGGGCTCAAGGCTAGCTGTGGACACTGGGTCCACATGCTAGGGGGACCTGCTCTGTGCAACCCACCCTTGGAACCCCTCGGAGTGCACTAACATGGGGAAGACAGGCAGGAGATGGACCCAAAGCAGGCAAAGGGTGGGGACAAGGATGTGGGAAAGGCCGGGGATGGCAGATGGAGAAGTGAGTAAACAGGCTCCTCTTGACTCCCCTTGCTTCTCTGCTGCCCTAGATCTCAGGCCAGCACCTGAGCCCCATTCCTAATCCCTCAGGAAGCCCACTCTGATGCCCAGCACAAATTCTGCTGCCCACACTCACCAGGCCCAGGTGACCCAACAACCAGCTCCTCTTTGGGGGCTCTGGGAAACATCGGAGGCGGCGGCAGGTGTCATAGAAGGTGTAGGTCCAGGCCAGGACTCGGGCCAGGAGCCAGGAGGCCCCCAGCACCAGCAGGAGTAGCCATGGGGAGGCTGCCAGTGGCCCCAATCCCAGCCAGGACAGACTCAGCTGTAGCATCCTGCAGGGCAGACAAAGGGGGTGTTCCTGAGGCCAAGAGCAGGGTCAGGTGTGGGGGGGAGGCAGTAATAGGTGAGCTCAGAGGCAGAGACCAGCTCACAGACAGAGGGAGAGGGCAGAGGGTGTGAGGGACAGGGACACAGAGGGGCAGGTGAGTGCTGGGGACAGGGCAGGGAGGGCTCGGAGGTGGGTGAATGGGGGTCGGGGGAGAGGGGAGACCCAGAGAAATGCAGAGGAAGAGACAGAGACAGAGAGACACAGAGAGAAAGAGAACCAGGTTACATGGCCCACTGTATTCCCCTCAAGTCCCAGGCCAGTGCACTCCCTGCAGCCACTCCTGCCTTGAGCAACACCTCTCCCCACCCTGGGCCAGGACCCCCAGCTCCCTCACCCCGGGATTGGCACCTTCTGCCTGGAGCCGCTAGTCCCACAGGACTTCCTGTCTCAGCACAGCACCTAGGGCAGCCTTTGCCCCTGGTTTCCAACCTAGGCGGAGTGGACAGGGGCTGAACTAAGCCAGCCAATCCCCAAACACTGGCTTTCCTCCACTCTGCTGGCACTGATGCAAATATGGGCAGGGTGGGGGGCGGGGCTACCATGTTGTCTACATGGGCCTAGGCCTAGCTCGGGGTCACACAGTGTGGACACTGGATCCTCAGGACTCAGCACCCCACAGTGGGATGGGGGCAAGTTGGGAGGTAGTCAAAGATGACTCTGGGCCCCCAAGTTTACTGTCTTCTCTCTCCCAAGACCAGGGTGTGGCAGGTCAAAGCTTCAACTTGATTGTTCAGTTGCCAGGTGAGCCTTGTCCCCAGCATCCCCCAGGTCCTCTCTCAGAGCTGGGCCCAGTGTGTCATTCAGTTTCTTGGCTCAAACCTGGGAAACTCAGAGGTTACAGCCTCTGGCCTCCAGGTGCACAGCCTGGCAGGCGTTAAGGTCCTACCTCCAAACAGTCCAGGGCCTGAGGTGAGACCTGCCTGCTAGGACCGGACCAGGAACTTTCCCATGGGACTCAGGGGAGGAAGGGCCCTGTGGGAAGAGAGCACCCGGAGGCCAGCGGGTGGGTCTGAGGGGCCCAGACAGGGGAGGCAGAGCTGGGAGGCCCGGAATCAGTTTAGCCTGCCCTTGCTCTGACTGCCGCCGGGCCAGCCCCTCTGGGATCAGCCTTCCATCTGGGATGTTGAAGGACATGTTGAGAGGGAGACAGAGGAAGGTTACACAGGAAGGGGAAAGAAGGTGCCAGGAGCTCCCCAAAGAGATGGAGTGAAGGGAAAGAGCTGGCAGCTAGTACTTGTGCTGCTGTGTGCCAGTACTCCATATACAGTAGACCTCCTTTGCACAGATGACTGTATGTACAGTGTGCCTACTATGTGTTGGGCACACTATATCAAACATGCCTACTGTGTGCCGGGTACACTGTATAAAGCACATCTGTGTGCCAAGTACTCTCCACAGACTGTGCCTACTGTGTACTGGGTAATTCAAAAAGTATGCCTACTCTGTATCAGCTGCATACATAAAGTGTACCTACTGTGTGCCAGGTCTGTTATATAAAGTGTATCTGCTGTGTGTCAAGTACTCTAATAAATACTGTCTACTGTATGCTGGGTGTTGCACATAAAACATGTCTACTGAATGCTGGGTACCCTCCATAAGGCATGCCTACGAAGTGCCAGGAACTCTATAAAGCACACCTATGATGTGTCAGGTGCTCTACATAAAGTAAACCTACTCTATGTGAAGTACTTCTATAAAGTAGGCCTACTGTATGTCAGACATTCTACATGAAACTTGCCTATTGAGTACCAGATATACTACATAAAGCACAACTACTATGTCCTGGGTGCTCCATAAAAAATGCTACTTTTATGCATCAGGTATACCCCATGCAGTAAACCTACTATGTGCTAGCTGTTCTGCCTACAAGGTGATGCCTCCTGCTGCCCTCTGCTCTCTGGGCCTGCATCCTGGGGAATCACACAGAGAGACCCAGGTGACGGTATCCCAGGAGGGAGGACACCTACTTAACATATGAGCAAACTGAAGCTCAGAGAGGGCAGGACTCTAGCCTGCATTGCAGGGCTGGAAGGAACCAGGGTTGGTCATACTCCCCATCCAAGCCTTTTCCTCTGCCATGCCGCGCCGCCCCCGTGCAGAGGGCCTGTGCCCTATTAATCCAGGAACATTCACAGTGGTAAATTTCAGACAATATGGTGACCCCAAAGGGGAGATATCCTCTCAGTGGACCCAGCGCTCCACTCCTGGCCATCCCTTGACTAGAATTGCTCAGAATTGGCCTGGGGAGTGACCTCAGGTGAAGGGGCTTGAAGGATGGAGGTCCTGGTAGACCTGTGAGCAGAAGAGCAGGGAAAGGACAGGTCCCCTGACACTGGTAGAATGTTGGGGAGACTCCAACCATCCCTCTCCCCTCCCACTAGTTGGGGGATTCAGGTGGTTGGTCCTAGAGTCCTCAGTGAGGTGGGTGCACCTTCCTCCCAGAATCTCCTCCACTCAGCAGGGGCAGAATGCACCTGCTGGCAGGTCCATCCACAAGAGGGTCAGGAGCAAGGCCAGGGTATGATACACCAGACAGAGGCCTGGACATGTGGGAGAAAGGACCCCCAGTGCCCAGAGGGCCCAGTTCACTGCAAATCTATTGAACATTTGACAACATAAGCCACTGAATCTATTTTAAGCCCTTCAGATATATTAGCCTTTTTTTTTTTTTCATTTTACAGGTAAGGAAACTGAGGCTGAATTCCATTTGAATGACATGTCCAAAGTCACACAGCTGGTGGAGCCAGACTGTACACAAGGCCTTATACTGGGTGCCCTGAACCAGTGGGCATTTCATAGCACCCCCTCCAAGACGGCAGGGGTCATTAAAACAGACAATGTCTATGAGGCGCTCGAGAGGGAGGACTTGGGAGGTGCCAGTCATCACTGCAGTGGCTGATGTTGTTGCTGTTGTGGTGGTTCCTGCTGGTGTGTGACCATCCCACAGCCTGGCAGTGGCATCCTCAGGAGCCCCTTTTTACAGAAAAGGAAGCAGAGATTTGGAAGTGAAGCAACTTACTCCAGCCTCACAGCAAATTTGGTCAATATGACAGCAAAGCCTGGCACATAGTAGGGGTTCATTAAATACCTGGGGAATAAAGTGAGCTTTGCAACCACGAGCTCTAAGACGCTCTACACAAAGGGTGGTCCTCAGTCTTCCGACACCAGTCTCAGCAGAGGGCTTGCAGGGAGTACAGAATGTAGCACCCTGGGCCAGAAATACTGACCGAAAACTGCACCACCACTGGGGCGTGGTGAACACTCGTTCAATTTTTACGACATGTGGCTTTAAAGCCCCCAAGTCCAGATTCTGTGAGGGAAGCAGGGAAGGAGCACCTTCGCCTTTCTGATTCACAGAATGAGTTATTTTATTTTTTCAGTTATACAATAAGGGGGGCGGGAATCTATACTTCCTGGGGCTGTTTACGTAACCATGTGTTTCTTGAACATCTATTATGTGCTGGGCACTATTCTGGGCACTGGGGGTGCAGCACTGAGCACAGCAGACATCACCCCTGCTGTCCAGGGGCTCACATCTTGTGGAGTGATGGGTAATGATTGAATGAATGATCAGAAGTATCAGACGGTGATCAGTGATGTGCCTGTGGGAGGGGTCCTACCTTAGGCCAGGGGTCAGGGTGAACAAAGACCAGAATAAAGAGGGAGGGCCTCCAGGGACAGGCTTGGAATGGGACACTCAGGCTGCGCCAAAAGCCAGTTGGCTCTGTTCCTTTGACACTGGGGCTGAGAGCACTAACCCATGAAGTCACGCAGTGAATCCTTGGCAAGGCCAAGGCGGGTAGCAGAACCTGGCCTCAAATGGCAGCTATAAGCCAGGGTTGAATTTTCAGTAGCCATGACCGAGGGCTCAGACTCCAGCAGGGCTCCTCAGCCATCAAGAGGCCAGCGTCTACTCGTCCAGGGCGCCTCTCCACCCCGCCATTCCTGGGTCAGATGATAGAAGAGGAAAGGATGCCTCAGGTGGGGACTTGACTCAGAGCACGAGGAGGCTGCAGCATCCCTAGTGGTGAAGGTCTCAGCTGCCAAATCACACAAGCCTGGCTGATGAAATGTCCCCAGCCTATATGGGGGGGTTCCTGGTTTGTAGGCATGTCCTAGGCCCGTAGCTTCCTCGTCAGAGGTCAAACTTTACTTCAGGTGAGCCAGTCTATTGTCCTTTTGCATCCAGGATAACACGCCTTTGGGATGGCAGAGCAATCTCCTTTTCCAGACCCCTCAGGGCACAGCTGCCACACCAGAGCATCGGACCACAGAGGCCCTGGCTGTCTTCTCCTCATCTCGTTCCCCCATACTACCTCACGTGCTGTAAATGTTAATTATTAACTGTCCTGTTCCCACCAGTGTGTAAAACGTGTGTACCTCTCTGTTTTACTTCTTATCCAGTCCCAGAGACCTACAGACTTTGCTTCCTCCCGCCCCCTTGATCTACCACCAGTGGATGTCCTGAACCCCCCTTACTTCTCCGCCTTGGACGGTAACGCATAGCAGAAGCTGTAAAGCTGCCATTCTCCAGAGCATTTCTCAGTCTACTGAGAGTGAGCGTCCCAGCACTTGTCATCAGTTTGGCTCAAATGAACTGAAAAAAAAAAATTATCCACAGGTTTGGACATTTCTTAGGTCGACAGGGACAAGTTTCAGAGTCTGCAAACAAAATTCTGTAGGAAACCATTCTGCATGGCGTGGGCCCAGCTCCCACTCAGAGATGCACAGGACCCATGCCCACGGATAGGTTCTCCCATGGGGAATCAGACCTGCAATGTGCCTAGGCCACTTTGAGTCTTGCTTTTGCTAAAAAACTCCCTCACCCTGAATTGAAACAGCAAGTGCTTACTGTAACTTCCTAAAAGCCGTGCTAAACCTTCCAAGGATGAGTATAACCTGTTCAACTACTTTTCCCTTTTCGTTTGCAAATATCTCTCTTCTGTGATGTGATTAGCGGCACTGGCTCCTTTGTTTCCGGTAAAAGGTAACCTCCTAAAGCGAACCTATACATAGTAAATGAGGACCATCATGTAATGTGCCGAGAAACCCAATAAAGGCCAGTCGTGGCAAGGGCGGAGGCCTTTGCTCCCCTTGAGAGAAGAGCCATGCTGTCCCTTTTTCCTCCACCAGACTTGGTAGTCCATGTGAATGTCTCATTTCATCCACAATGATGTGATCACTGCAGGCCAGTGTTCGCATCGGAGTTCAAATCCCAGCTCTGCCACTTGTCATGTGACCTTGGGAAAATCGCTTGTCCTCTCTGAGCCTCCTGTCCTCCTTGGTAAAATGAAGAGGCAGGTATGTATATCCCAGGTTGCTCGTGCCTCAGCAACAAACTGTGCTTGGGCACCTACTCTGTACCAGACTCAGTCAGTGCTTGGACCTGAGGCCTGGGAAGAAGAAGGCAGAAGGAAGCTTCTGGATTCCAGTGCTCATGTCTGATGGGGGAAGCCAACAGGAAATAAGACCAAGTCAGATAGGGGGGTGGCAATAAAGAAAAGGGGCAAACTGAGGTGTGGTAGAAAATGACCAAGGGGCTGTTCTGGATGGGGCAATCTAGGAGGGCCTCTCAGAAGAGGTGGCCTTTTCAAGGAAACCTGAATAACATGGAGGAGTGAGCAGTGAATAGACATCCCCCACCAGCCCTACAGCCACTCCAGGACCGTAAGACCCACCACAGGCTGTGGCAATCAAATGGCCTAAAATGTGTGTCATTTTTGCTTCCTTCCTCAGACATTCTGACACAAACAGAGGAGCAGAGCCAGTGAGGCAATTAGGGTCAGCGCCTGAGGAAAGCAGGAACCAGATCTGCAAGAGACCCAGGGTGGCAATGAAATCTGGCCAGGCTCGACCCCGAGGGCACGTCCAGTGAGAGCCAGCTCTGTACACTGGGGCTGCCAGCTTCTCTGCAGTGGCACCAGGTGATCAAAGGAACTGGTCTGGGGGACAATCGGGTACAAGGAAAACTTCAGCCAAGTCCTGAGAACCCACTGACCTTGGCATCAGTTTACTCTGGGTGGGATTTGGGGGGTGAAAAGTAGCCTGACCACACCCACCACTCAAAAGGGGGCTCCTCAGGAGGCTCAACAGAGACCACGGAGACCATATTCATGGAGTAGGAAGAGGTGCTTCTCATCCAAAAACCAACAGAGTGTACCCCAAGGCTGTCGCTCAAAAGGAGCAAAGGAGACATAGCGTTTTACTCCCCATTTGGGAACCTGCTTAGCCAGCTGGCAAGGGGCCCTCCCAGGTGCAGAGGAGCTGAGTGAATGCCTGTCGGGGGCCACGTGTGCAGCTGACATTGACCCAGGTTGAGTTGATGGGCTGCATCGGGTGTCTCCGGCCACCTTCCTGCAGCTTCTCTGAGCCAGTAAGATAGTGTTTGGTCAGTGGGAGACCACTGCAGACAATCATAGAGGATTAGGGGAATGACATCTGTCCTCTGCCAAAGGCTACCTCCATGTTCAGCTTCAGCTACTCCCTGTGGATTCCAGGAACAGCTTGCTCCCTGGTCCCATCAGCCCGGCAGTGGTGGCAGCCCCCGGGTGATGTCAGCCTCTAGATGCTACACCTCTGTAAACGGCCCCTTCTTAAACCCTCTTCATTTAACTCATCTGAGGTAGCTGCCAGGACCTCACCACTCATTCCCCAAAGGGATGAAAATTCCGAACAAACCAGTTATGTGGGCATTCCTTGATGTATGTCTAGGCACAGAAAAATCTGGAAAAGTACATCCAGTCCCTGGAATGGGAGGGGGAGAGAAAGGAGCAACTCTTTTCTTTTAACTGTCTACACTTACTACTTGATCCCTTTTCTTGTAGAAAGCTGCACAGCATTTTAAATCATAAGTACTAATGTAGTTAATTATAAATTATTTTTTCAAGGAAAAATGCATAGCACCATGCCTGGCACATAGTAGGGCTGAATATATAAGGCCTGTGAGAAGCCAGAAGACATTGTGTTAAGAGCGAAGACTCCAGTTTCCAGGTCAAGTCTGTTCCAAGCTCGCGCCTTCCTTCTGTCAAAAAATAAGAAAAATAATGGCAAACACAGGCTTGGAACAGACTGTGTGTCTGCAAATGTTGTCACAGCACTACGCTCATTTCTGCCCATCTGACTTTCACAACTGCTTCGTCATTACCCCTGGTCTTGGGTGAGAAAACTGAGACACAGAGAGGCAGAGAGACCTGCCTCAATTCCCACAGCTGGACCCGGTGGGAACCCTGGTGTACTTCTCCCTGGGAAGCTGCACGTGGCAAGTATCTGAGGCCTTGCATGGCCCATCAGGTTCCCCTCCTCCCCTTCCCCTCGTGCTCCTATTGGGTTGGCCACAAGTCCATTTCGTTTATTCCATAAAATAAAAGACACGTTGTTCATTTTCGCCAATAATTTTGTTGGTTTGGATATTTTGAGTGTGTCGGCTATCTCCTGATATTGGCTTCTAGTGGGTAGAGGCCAGGGGTGCTGCTAAACATCTTCCAGTGCATAAGACAGCCCAAAGCAAAGAATTATTCGGTCAAAATGTCCATAGTACCAAGAAACTTCACAAACCACTTTTGACACGTTCGATTGGTCACAGCACCTTCTGCATACACTGCACAAATCTTTTTTTGCATTTCAGTTGTGTTTTTACCTTTCTTGAAATAATAAAGCATAATATGCCCAAATGTTGCATATTTTCTTCCATATTCAATATGAAAATGGCTGCACAAAAATTCACCAGTTTTCATGTTTTTTTTTAATGCACGCTGATATGACAGCTGTCACAACACAATCTAACAAAATTGTTTCAAATGAACTTAAAGGCAACTAAGTGCTACTAGAACCATTGTACGACAAAAACATAACAGACTTTTTGGCCAACCCAATATCATTCTTTAAAAATAGAAAACAATTCTTAGTTTAAAACAGGCCAGATTTGGGTCATAGACCGTAGCTGGCTGGCCCCGGGCAGGACACAGGAACAGAGGTAATTGTGTGTGTTGACCGTGTATCCTGACTCTGTTGGACTGTGCCTCCTGGACTAAACTTGTGCTGCTATTTCCTCAGTCTTAACTCTTCCTTCGACCCCACTTTCCCACCAGCTAAGGCACATTTCTTTTCTCCATTGTGCAGCAAACCCCTTTGATGACAAATGTCTCCCCTCCCAGTGCACATGGGCTTTGAGTTCCCACTAAGGGTCTGGATGGTGGGTGAATGAAGGAAGAGGGACCCTGAGGGGCCTTGGGACTCACTGCACCTGTGTGTGTGTTCCTTAAGACACACCTGGGCCTAGGCCTGTCCCTTGTGGCTGTGGGGCCTTCTTCCTCTTCTGAGTGGCGTGTCTGAGGCTCCCACTGCTGGAAGGTTCAGAGATGACAGGCTGTCAGGGCCCAGCCTCCATTAGTGTAGTGTGTATGAGTGAGTGACTGAGTGTTTAAGTATATGTGTTACTGTGTGTGTGTGCAATTGTGTGTGCATGTGTGAGTTTCCATGTGTGTGCATGTAACTGTATGCACACTTGACTATGTTTGTGTGCACATTTGAGTGCATGTAAGTCTGTGTGACTGCGCATACACACGAGTGCAGCTGTCTGTGTGACTGTATGCAATTGTGTGCATGGAGGGGTGCGCAAGTGTGTGCAAGGGTGAGAGTGTGTGTGTCCTGAAGTCGGTGGACCACTGTGACTGACTGCCCCAGGCTGCACTTCTTCTCACCCAGGCAGCTGCTGTCAGAGGTTCCCAGGCCTGACCCCGGACCTCGGCCTTGCAGCAGGTAGGACATTCTGGAGAAATAACTTCCCTGCATGCAGCCCTGTCTAACAATTGTGGGTGCTCATTCTCTGCTTTCTTCCAGATGTCCCCAGAGGGACTGAGCCCCAGGTGCCCACAGTGGAACATCCTTTCTAACCCACATTTTTCCTGCTGTCTCCCCTCCCCACTGCCCTACAGTAGGCATCTCTTTGGACCACCTCCCGAAGAGGCCACTTGCAGTTGAATTCCTATCTCAGGATCACCTCTAAGGAAGGTGCTGCACTCATGTCTTTGCAGTAGAGTCTGCTTCTGGGTAACCCAATTAAGACACACAGGCAGCCTTGCTCTTCCAGTCCCCACAGGCCCTTTGTTATTTCTGCTTTACTGGAAAGGAACAGGAGGCTTAGAAAGGGCAAGTCATTCACCCAAGGTCACATTCTAACGGAAGAATTACAAAGCTGGGCTTTGACCATGGCCCTCTGACCCAAGGCCATTGCTTGTTTCCCTCCTGGATCCCCCTCCTTGCTGAGGGACAAGGGCACAGGACAGGCATTCACAGACAGTGATAAATCTAACGAAATATGTGCAGGATCTCTATGATGAAAACTTCAAGACACAGATGAAAAAATTCAAAAAGACCCAAATTAATGAAGAGAATTGAGAACCCCTTCCATCTTTCTCTCAACTGCTGCAGAACCAGCAGACCTCCGTGTCCTAGAACATCTAGGGGCCAGGGGCATCCAACCCACAGCCAACAGCCCGCAGGAGGGCTATGAATGCGGCCCAACACAAAATCCTAAATCTGCTTAAAACTTGGATTTTTTTTCTGTTTTCGTTAGTGTTTATGTGTTTAATGTGTGGCCCAAGATAACTCTTCTTCTTCCAGTGTGGCCCAGAGATGCCGAAAGGTTGGACACCCCTGATGGGTGAGGATGAAATACAGGTCGTGCATCTCTAGGGGGAAGAAGAAAAGTGATTTTTCCCCAGTTCCTACCTTCAGGCCAGCTTCACATCAAAGACCCTTAATTTCTCAGCTGTAACCATGGATATTTTAAATTTACTGAATCTTCTACTGATAGCTTTCCTTTTTAGCATTCGTTCTTTTTTTTTCCCCCTTAACATTTTGGGCTTTGTGTTTTATAGTTTCATTTAACAGCAGGAAATTTAGAATTAACTTCTAAGATTTCTTTTTAATTTAAAATTTGGAACATGATGCCAGAGAGGGAAAGGGAGGAAATACATCCTCACTAAGGACTGAAGCTTACCAGATAGATGATGACTCAGTCTTGCCGCACCTGCTTACTTACTCAGACTCCACAACAGGGCAATGAAGTGGCCCCTGTTAATCAGTAAAGGAACTGAGGCTCAGAGAGGGACACCCTGTTCCCGTAGCTAAACAGCCAGCAAATAGCAGACTGGGGTTGTGATTTTGGGAGCACAAGTCCATGGTGTGCTAGATCCGGGGTCATCTGACCCTGACTGCTTCTAGGTACCCCCTTCACCTTCCTTAAATGGTCTTGTCCTCAGCATCCAAGGTGATCCTCATCTTTAAGGAGACATTGTTACAGTGACCATAGGAACATTGGGAAGGATTCCGAGGTGAGAAAAGACTGGCTATATTAGGAGATCAGAACCGAGGTCAGGGTGGCTAGAGTGTGGCATCGTTATGGGTTCTCCTGTGTGACTCAGTCTCAAATGTACCCTGAAAGCCCATCCTTAGATCTGGTCCCTCTCCTGCTCAGACACCTGCCATGGTTTCCCATTACCCACACTATAAATGCTACACCTTTGTAAAGGGCCCTAGGAGAACCCACAATCAGCGTGGGGCCCTGTGCTGGGCAGGGGAGGCAGGCAGGGTCTCGAGCTCAGAGACACCTGGGTCCCCTCCACCCGGCCACGCCCACGCCCTGGGAGGCCACGGGGAGGCTGGGGCAGAGGTGACAGCACAGTTTTTTCCTGGGACCCTGCACGGGGAGGTGTGTGAGGTGAGGGTGGGGGTGGGGTGGTGGCGTCACTGAGAGCCCGCGCCCAGCGGCTGCACCCGCAGCCAAAGTCCGCCCTCTGCCCGCAGGATCAGCTCCGGCTTCCTGCGCGGCTCCGCCTCGTCGGGCAGGACGCGGAAGCGCAGCAGGGTCAGCGCCAGCACCACCTTCATCTCGGCCATGGCGAACGTCTGCCCTATGCAGTTCCTGCGGGCGCGAGGGAGGGCGTGGGGGCTCCGACTTGGCCCGGGACCTGGCCCTGCACTCCATCCCCCCCCCCACCACCACCAGGCCCACCCGCAGCGGTGCCGAAGGGTGCTAACCGCGCCTGGCACCCCCGTGTGGACTGGGATATTTCCTGAGCCCAACTGCCCACACCCCATTCCCACTCAAATATCCGCGGGCCTCACCTGGACCCCACAGAGAAGGGAATAAATGCCAGAGGTGACCTCTTCTGGGGTGTTTCTGGGTCAAAGCGGAAGGGGTCGTATACCTGGGGGCGAGAGAGGCCGGCTGGTGGATGGGGTTCCTCAGAACACACGGCCACCCCCAGAAAGGACACGTAGATACAACGGAGGGGGAGAGTCCGCTTTCTCGGGCCTGGATCCCGCCCCATCACCGGGCCCCAGGATGCCAAGAAGGAAGGGGCAGCACCTCCGGGTCCGGCCAGACTGATGGGTTGTGATGAACTCCAAAGATGCTGATGACGCACGTGCTTCCTGGAGGGGAGGAGGGGCCAGTCAGGATGAGGTCCGGGCTCACAGGACTACCTCCCTCCTCCCCTGTCATCTCCTGCACCTTTGGGGATGACACGGCCATCAGGGAGCATAATGTCCTGGGTACAGCAGCGGGAGATGACCGTGACTGGGGGGTGCAGGCGCAGACTCTCCTTGATGCACATGGTCAGGAAGGGCAGCTGGGCCAGGTCGTCCCTAAGGAACAGCCCAGCAGTTATCCAGGGAGCAAACCAGAGACCCGCCCCCACCAGCTCCATGAGGGTCTCTCTGTGTAACGAAATAAATTCCAGATGGGTCAAATGTCTCCAAACTCGAACGTACCTTAAATAAATAGAGACACCCTCTCCCCACCAATCCCCCCCCATGTCCTCTTGCCCCAAAAGATCCTCTTCCCACCTCATTCAGACCCTCTCTCCTATAACAAAATAAATTCTAGATGAACTGAAAACTTAAGCATTTGAACGTCAAAATCACAAGTTGCTAGAAGAAAATGTAGATTGGTGGTTTTAGAACCGTTTCTGAGCAAAACACAACAGTCAGGGAGCAGTATTAAACACGTTATACCATTGCATACAATTCTTTTAAATTGTATAATTACCCCAATATAAACATCTTCATCATGGACTTAGAAGCTTATTTAAATAAATAAGATCCACTCCATACTCTAAGTTGGGATGACCTAATGTAAAAGTGCCAATTCAGTCTAAATTAATCAATATTTAATGCAATCCAATAAAAATCTACTTCGTGTGTTGTGTGTGCATGTGCGCGCATGTGTTTGGAACTTGGTTATGTTATTCAATTTGAAAAAATTAAAGTTCATTAAGAGCTAGGTCAATTTAAAAAAGAAAAGATCAGCCCTGGCTGGTGTGGCTCAGTGCATTGAGTACTGGCCTGTGAACTGAAGGGTCACTGGTTCGATTCCCAGTCAGGGCAAATGCCTGGGTTGCAGGTGGGGTCCCAGGTTGGGGCCTGCAAAAGGCAGCCAACTGATGTTTCTGTCTCATATTGATGTTTCTCTCCTTCTCTTTCTCCCTCCCTTCTTCTCTCTCTGAAAATAAATAAAGTCTTTTTTAAAAAATAAAAATAAAAGATCAAAGAAAGGGAACTCAATCTACCAAATATTAAGACCCATCACAAAAGAGCAGTAAATAAAAAGAAAAAAAACCCAATTGTGTGGAATTGTACAAGAACAGGAAAACAGATGCATGGAGCAGAACCGAGAGCTTGGAAACAACATGCAAATAGGTAAAATTTGAGCATCTGATAGAGGAGGCCCACAAACCCCTGGGCAATGGATAGACAGTTTGGTAGAAGGTACTCATACAACTGACGATGTGGGAACGAAAAGAACTAGATCCTCACCTACACAAGGTGATGAGTGTGTCAGCTAGCCTCACTGCACTCCTTGTGAATGCATATCACGTCACCACATCGTGCACCGTAAACCTACACAGTGTCACGTGTCCACTACAGCTCAACAAAACTGGGAGGAAAAAAAGATGAATGCTTATAGTCATGGTCAACCATTTTGCATTGTACTGTTTGAGTTTTCACCAAGTGTGCAATTTTTTGAGGTTGGGAGAGAAATGTCTCTCCATGTCACTGGACAGTGGTGCTGAGCTAAGCCTAGAGGTGGAGGACACCACCTGCAAAGTGTTTGTCCAGCCTAACATCTCCCTTCCACCCTTTGGAACTCAACCCAGAATCTGGCCCCTGGGTCCCCAGGCCCCAGGTCATACCCTCCAGTTTGTCCTGGTAGTCGCAGGGAGATATTTCTAACACCCATGTCTGACCTGTATCTCCCCTTCTCAGACACCTCCCATGGCTCCCCATTGGCCGATGTTAGTCATGGCTTTCCTGTGGAGAGTCTGCTGTGCAGCCTCAAGAACAACTGGCTGACAGCCTCCCCTAGGGGTCTGTGGCACTGCTGCATCAATCGAACCAAGGCCACACTCACCTGGGCAGCTCCCAGCCAATGACTGAGCACGTGGCCACTGCTGCCTGACTATTTCTGCCCAGCATGGGTCCCTAATGGCGGCATCCCTGCCCAGTTTGACTTTTTATCCAATATCGACCTCCCAGAAGAACGGAAGTGACACCCTTGGAAACTCCTAACATGGTTTCCAAAGCACTCTCAGGGGGGCTTCCATGACCAGTTCGGCCTCACTGGGGGCCCCTATGGTTCTTCAAACTGTAAATATCACAAGGATCCAGCCACCTTTACTCCCTCACAAACATGCCAGGCTCACCCCTGCATGCTTCTGTCCTGGCCTTTGCACAAGCATTCCCCCGGTCAAAAGCACTGTTCACTCCATGTGGTGAATCATATTCACTGTTTTGCTGCCCAGTCTCACCTCCTTTCCTCTCAGCCCCAGCCCCACCCAGGTAGGACCCAGATGGGACTGGATGCTGAGCTGGGAAAGGGCAGGCAGCACAGCCATTTTTACTGAACGAATGATGGATGACTTTTTACCCCTGAAGACATCTTGGGAATCCCTGGAACAGACTATTAGGTGGGCATTAGGGAAAAAAAAGCAAAAATTAAGGGGAGTGGGGGGTCTTTTGGGGAAGATTGCAATGCCAGGCAGAAATACAAGGAGGGGAGGAAAAGTTCATTTACTGAACACAGGCTGGGTGGCCTCTGTTTTATACACGTTGTCACAATTCTCCAAGCAGCGCTGTGGGCGTGAGATACAGACACACATACACACACACACACACACACACACACACACACACAATTTGCAGAGGAGAAGAGTGGCATTCAGAAAGGGAAACTGACTTTATTAAAGTCACACAGCAAGTTAGTGGGGCAATAAATGGGGACGCTCAGATCTTTCTGTCCCCAAACCTGGCACACTTTCCCCTGCCATCCAAGCTGGATACCAGACCCTGCCTCTGTGCTCTGCTTCCAGTCCCACTAAATGGATGACAGAATGACAGAATCAACAACAACAAAGACCTTCCCTCTTCCCCACTTCGGGAGCACAGCCTGTGTGGGGGTGGTGGGGGCTCAGGAAGAGCCATGAGAACCCTCACTCACCACTCAATCTCTTTAGGCTCCCGGTCCCCCAGGAGCTGTTGCACCTCCTGCCGGCAGCGCTCCTGGTACTCTGGGTGGCGTGCGAGGTTGTACAGGACCCAGGAGAGGCCACTGGCTGTGGTGTCATGGCCTGAGAGGCAGGCAGACAGGCTTAGGTGTCTGGGCTGCTTCTGCACCAGAGGTGGGCAGCACCCTTATGTTAAGGCCTTCAGGGATGGTGGGTAGGATTGGGCAACATGGGGCGGCCCAGGGTCCACCTGCCAAGTCCCTGGGATGGTGAGACCCACCCCTCTGTGGTCCCACACTGAGACCCTTACCCTCAAACATGAAGGTATCAGCCTCGGCTCTGATGTCCTCATCTGATAATCTCTTCCCATCTTCATCCTTAAGAAAAGGCAAGATGCCTTGGATCACACTGGCCCTGAGGATATCTGTGTCTAACCTCAAACAGTCCCTGAAGCTCTGTCATCCAAATAGGATCCTTCCCTCATCAGCTCCAGAACTCACCCACACATGTTCTTCCTGGTCTCCTGCTTCCCGTTTACTCCTTTGAGATAGCCTTCTACACAGTCATGGCTACGGCTTATCTCAGACCCATTCCTCCCTTCCTCAAGAACCCTGAATGGCTCCATAGTGCCCTTTGCTTCAAGTCCTGGTTCTTCAATCTGACATTTGAAATCAATGTCCATTCTGCCTCTTGAATTCAGATCCCAGAGAAGCCCACCTTGGCCAGTAGGAGCACATCAATGAAGTCCAAAGTCTTGGTCTTAGCCTTGGCTTTGAGGAAGCCATGAAAACCCTGACTGATGAGGGTGCGACGCCGCTCCTGGATGATGGCATCTGTGAAATTGTGTACCAGGTTGCAAACCCTGCGGAAGCGCCGCCCATCAGGGGTGAGTTGATACAGGAAATCCACGTACAGGAATATCTGCTGGGTTCGTTTAGTCACGAGGGCACTGAGCTCCAAGATGGCAGCAATATATTCACTGGGATTCCTGCAGGAAAGGCCAGAAAAAGCAGCTCCTTAACACACATGAAATCCTGGGAGGCCCTCCCAGCCAGAGCTCAAAACCACGTTCAAACCAGAAAAGGATGCTCTCCACACATGCTTCCATCTCTCTGAGCTTCCTCATGTCCTAGGCCCCGGCACAAAGTTTAGGCATCATGCTCATCCCCCCTCTCCCCTTTGCAATATCTGGCCCTGCCCATTCTTCCTTGGTTTCTCTCAAATATGTCCCATTTTCTCCACCAAACTCAGTCTTCCTCTTCACTCTCTCCTTGCACCCTGTGTGTACACAACAGTCAATCATCTCTAGACTCTAGAGCTCAGCTTAGAGCCAAAACCTTCCTCTGCTCAAACACCTGCCATGGCTCCCTGGAAACCTCAGGATAAAGTTCATACCTCTTTGCCTGTCTTTGGAATGTCATTAAGATCCAGCCCCTGCCCAGCCCTCCCACCTCATTTCCAAGATGTCCCATCACAGGTACACACACTCTGCTCGTTCTAGTCTCCTGGCTCTTATCAAGCATTTCTTCCTACCTGAGGGATCACTCTTTCTCTTTCCCCATCCTTGCCCTTCAATGTCCAGCTCTGACCCACCTCCTCCAGGAACACCCTTGTGATTACCCTGGTCAGTCCTCCCTCCATCTACTCCCTTGGGTTTGTAGCTCATGTTCCCAGGCTCTGGGCTGAGACTCACTCCTGGCAATTGCTGTCAAAACTGAAGACACATTTCTGCAGACTGTCCAGGGTCATGAGGCTGATGTGCTCAAACATGTCCAGACGAGTGTTGCCTTCTGAGGCCAGGCGCTGCCACTTGGCCTGGACAGAGAAGGGGACAGAACAGGGCCTTCCCTGAGCCCTTCCCCCAGCCCAACCACCTACATGGACTCCCCCAGACCCTGCCTCTTGGTCCTCTGCCCCAGGCACCCATCCCCAGGGAGGACTGGGCACTAGTGGGAGTGAAATCTGTTACTCTTAGGACATGAAGACTCCATGGCTGGGAGTCAGAAGACTTGGGTTCAAGGTCATTGCCTTCCTCTGGGCTCCATCTGTCAAATTTCCAGTGAAGTTAAGAGGGCCTGTTTTGGTGTCAGACAAGCCAGGTTAAAATTCCTTATCCACCATTCATAACTCACTCCTTAGCTATGTGAACTCAGGCAAACTCCCCAAACTCTCTGACCTTCTGTTCCATCATCTCTAAAGTGACAATAATAATCATCTTGTCATTTCTGGCCAAGATGGAGATGTAGATAACTTTACCTCCTCCCACAACCAAAAGAAGGACAACAACAAATTTAAAAACAAAATAAATAACCAGAACTGCCAGAAAATCATACTGTACGGAAGTCCGACAACCAAGGAATTAAAGAAGAAACATTCATTCAGACTGGTAGTAGGGGTGGAGGTAAGCAGCCAGGGCAGAGAGGACGCATGGCAAGGCATTGGCTGGCAGACCAGGTGGTCCCACATTTGCATGTAGATAACCAGGAAGAACAACTGGAGAGTGAGACACACCATACAACCCAGGATTCCAGTATGGGGGAAATGAAGCCTCAAAACATCTGGCTGTAAAAACCTGTGGGGGTTGTAGTGGTAGGAGAAACTCCCAGCCTCACGGGAGAGTTCGCTGGAGAGACACACAGGTCCTAGAATGTACACAAGCCACCCATTTGGAATCAGCACCAGAAGGGACCAGTTTGCTTGTGGGTAGTGGGGCAAGTGACTGAAAGCAGGGTGAGAGATTAGCAAGTGGCATTGTTCCCTCTCTGATCCCTCCCCCACATATAGTGCCACAACACATGGAGTGGGTTGCCCCACCCTGGCAAATACCTAAGGCTCTGCCCTTTACTATGTAACAGGCTCACAGAGACTATATATATATATATATATATATATATATATATATATATATATATATATAGTGAAAGAATAGATCAAAGCTCCAAAAATAGAACTAAGCGATGATGATATAGAAAACCTATCAGATGCAGCATTCAAAACACTGGTAATCAGGAATGGTTGAATATGGTCACAAAATAAAAGGAAAAGTGAAAGCTATGCAGAGTGAAATCAAGGTAAAAAAAAAAACAGGGGGCCAAGAGTGAAGGGAAGGAAACCAGGACTCAAATCAACAATTTGGAAGAAAAAACATAAACATTCGACCAGAAAAGAATGAAAAAAACAAGAATACAAAAAAATGAGGATGCTTAGAAACCTCTGGGACAACTTTAAACATTCCAACATCCCAATCATAGGGGTGCCAGAAGGAGAAGAAAAAGAGCAAGAAATTGAAAACTTATTTGAAAAAATAATTAAGGAGGGCTTTCTCAATCTGGCAAAGGAAATAGATTTCTGGGAAATCCAGGTAGCTCAGAGTCTCAAAGAATTTTTGACCCAAGGAAGTACACACCAAGGCACATCATAATTACATTACCCAAAATTAAAAAGGAGACAATATTAAAAGCAGCAAGAAAAGGAGACAGTTATCTAGAAAGGAGTTCTCATAAAACTATCGGCTGATTTCTCAAAAGAAAACTTGCAGCCAACAAGGGGCTAGAAAGAAGTATTCAAAGTCATGAAAGGCAAGGACCTACATCTAAGATTACTCTATTCAGCAAAGCTATCATTTAGAATGGAAGGATAGATAAAGTGCTTCCCAGGCAAGGTAAAGTTGAAGGAGTTCATCATCACCCAGCCCTTATTATATGAAATATTAAAGGGACTTATCTAAGAAAAAGAAGATGATAAAAAATATGAACAGTAAAATGACAAGATCACAACTATTAACATCTGAACTCAAAAAAAACTAAACAAACAACTAGAACAGGACTAGAATCACAGAAATGGAGATCACATGGAGGGTTATCAGCAGGGAAGAGGAGAGGGGAGAATGGGGGGAAAGACACAGGGAATAAGAAGCATAATTTATAGGTACAAAATAGACAGAGGGAGGTTAAGAATAGTGTAGGAAATGGAGAAGTCAAAGAACTCATATGTACAATCCATGGACATGCTAGTGGGAGGTGGGGTGCTGGGCGGGAGGGGAATAGTGGGGGAAAAATGGGACAACTATAATAGTATGATCAATAAAATATTTTTAAAAATTAATAAATAATAACAATCTCTACAAATTATACAACATATGCCATAGAACCAGCACATCATTTTTTAATGTATAGTAAATGTTAAGTAAGTAACTGTTAGCTATCATCAGCATCTTCATCATCATCATAGTGGTAGGTGACTGCAAAAATGTTTCCTTTTTTTGTCCCTCCATATATCCTCATATCCTCATCCTTTTCAATGAGACACTGCAGTTCTTCCATTAGGAGGTGGAACCTCTTTATCCATCTATTGAATTTGAGCTGGATAGCAACATGCTTCAGCCAACAGAAGATGGAAATGATGGTATGCTAATTCTGAAACTGGGCTTCAAGAGGTACTACATGTTTCTGCTTGTTCTCTTGGAGTGTAGTCCCCATTACCCCACTATGCAAAGAGTCCAGGCTAGCCTACTAGAAAGTGAAAGGCAAATGCAGAAGTCCAGCTGTAAGATGAAGGCCATCCTAGACCGACCAACAGTTGGTCAAGCCTTAAACATGAGACAGGTCTGAGCCTGGATCAGCAGAGCTGTCTACCAAACCTTGTCAAGATCCCAGACAATTGTGTGATTCCAGCCAAGACAAGAACCACTCAACTGATCCATCATCTCATAAGCAACAACAAATACTAATTTTTTCAAGTCCATGAGTTTTAAGGTGGTATGTTATGTGGAAAAGGCTACTATTCAATATTCATTGTTATCATCTTGAATTTAGAGGCTTCAGGGAGCAGACTAAAAACTAAAGCCTTCTGGCCACTGGTGCCAGGAACAGGATTCCTTACGTCATCTTAACCACCATTTAAAAGGAATTATTATTATTTTTATTTTTTTAATTACTTTTTTATTTATTTTTATTTTTAAAATTTTATTTAGTTATTTTTCAAGTACAGTTTTTTGTCTATTTCTCCCATCCCAGCCCCTCCCCCCACCCCTTAAAAGAAATTATTATCTCAATTTTACAGATGAGGAAGCCAAGGCTTAGAGGGGAAACGCACTGGCCCCAAAACCATCCAACAGAGTCAGAACTCCAGACCATGTGTCTGAGGCCAACCCCCAGCCGCTTTCCCAGGGATCCAGCTGGGATGCTGAGTTCAAGAGACTCACATGCATGATGTCTGCACTCTTGTTGAAAATCTTCACATAGGGCTTCAGGATTTCAAAGTGGAAGGCAGGTGTCAGCAGATGGCGGTGGCGGCTCCACTTGTCACCAGCACTCAGCAGAAGCCCATCCCCTAGCAGAGGCAGCCACAGGGAGTCGGCAAGGGCAGTGCCTTCCCCTAGTCCCCCAAGGATGTCCCAATCCCCTTTGCCCCTAGTTACTCACCTAGCCAAGGCTTCATGAAGTTGTAGAAAAGTCTATTCTTAGGTGCAACAGTGGCTGACATGAATGAGGACCATCAGGGACCATGTGGAGGTGGAGGAGAGGGACTTTTGGAGAGGGGAGGAGGCACCCAGCCAAGGGTAGCATTCCCCCTCCAAGTCCAGCATAGCAGAAATGGGACAAAGTCAGAGGAAACAATGAGGAAGGTGGAGGCAAGGGGGGACCAGAGCCCAAAGGCACATCCCTATATGCTTAGACACACCCCAACATGGCATGATATGCCCAGCATACCTTGACATGGTTCCTATAGGATTCAACATGTTCTACACACCAGATCAGAGCCCAGTGCTCTACCAGATGCCTTTATAGGGACCTCAGATGCCAATCTGCCCAAGAACTCTCTGACATCTCTTGGGATATCCAACATGACCCAACATGTGTTAACATGCCCTGACATGGCCCCAACATGTATGCCATGCCCTGACATAACACTACAAGTTCTGACATGGACCAAAAATCCATCTTACATGATCTCAGTTTGTGCCACAAACAGGACTTAAATATGGTTCATTACTGTCCAAGATGGCTCAGGGATGACCCAGGCTTTCTCGTATTCTCCTCCACAGGGTTCTCACTCAGCCGTATGTGCTTAGCTCAGGGGCACTTCTGTCCTTAAAAAGACCAGGGCATGCTGCCCCTCTCACCATGGAGAGCTGCCACTGTTCCTTCTGGAACACACCCCAAGGCCAACCAGACACAGTTAACCAACCTGGGGGTCTGGGGGATGTTCCCCCACAATCGGCTGGCCATCTGTCTTCCTGTCCCAAATCACCTTCTAGCTTAGGGTTCCTCCCATCAAGGGCAGCTAGGGAGGGCAGCTGAGAACAGACAGAGCTAAGAGGGAAGCTTCCACATGTTCTGTGGCCTTCAGAAATCACTATGCCTCTCTGACTCTCAGTTTTCTCACCCAGGAAGTGCCCACCTAGCAAGGATGCTGGTAGATGGGCATCTGATATTGGCCTGTCCAGGGTCCATCCCTTTTTCCTTGAACGAGCACTCCATCCCTCCTCCACTCTCAATCCAAGTGGTCAGGAGGGTAGCCATGCCAACCCAGCCTTCACTCCAGAGCTAGGCATATGGCCCTGAGCCTGGGCAATCAGGTCACAGTGATTAGATGAGGAGCTAGTCCCTGTAACACAGGCCAGGCCAATTTAAGAAATCCTGTCATTTTTCCTGGATCTATAAGGAATAAGCTCCCTTTTCCAGGGCAGGTGAGCTCTCAGACACCTTTTCACCAGCACAAGAGTGAGGCTGGTGCAGAGGAACACAGAACTCTGAGATGAAGACCCATTTCCAATGGCATTCTTTAAGACCTGGATCCAGCCATGCTTCAGGTCAGTCTTCTCTGAGCTTTTCAGTCAATAGATCTCCCTTCTTTATTTACACCAACAATGTTGAGGTTCCATCACTCAAACTGAAAGAGACTTTAGCAACTGGAGAGTCAAGGACCTTCCCAGAGTCACCCGGCTGGTGAGAGTCCCAGCTATGGTCTCTGTCAATGTTGCCCCATTCTCCTGCTCAACCTGGTCTCTCTAGGGGTGGGAAGGGCTGGGAGAAGAAGCAAGGGAAGGAGTTGGGGGCTACTGGGAGAGATACCTGGGGCCTGGAGCAGGGGAGCAATGAACTTAGGGTGGATGAGCCGCAGGACGGGGTAGAAGGGCCCAAGCCACCAGACGTGGATGTCACGGAAGTAGTGGCCCAGTTTCTCTGTCAGCTGCAAGCCCTCCTCATTGGTCTTCATCTGGGAATGAATGGGGATGAGGCAAGGCCGGGAAGTGGGCTACAGCTTCCCACCGTACCCCTTACCCACCACACCCCACTCACCCCCTTTACTTCTTCTGCCTGGACTATTGGTCTACACTTGTCTCCATCTCACTACGTCAGCTTCTGTCTGTTGGCCTCTGTCTTTTCTTGTATCTATCTACCTATGTCTTTCCCTGTCCCCTCTCTCTTTTTGTTTCTCTGTTTCTTTAGGAGATAGATGATAGATAGATAGATAGATAGATAGATAGATAGATAGATAGATAGATAGATAGATAATGGATAGATGGAAAGAAGTAGATCACTCAAAGGTCTGGAGGTGAGAGAGCCAACACCTGGCTGTGAGCAGCAGGAAGGAGGTCAGCGCAGCTGGAGTGAAATGGGTAAGCAACAGAGAAAGGCAGAGAGGGGAGCAGATCAGGCAAGGAACCATGAGTGGGTAGAAGCAGGATATTGATTGTGAGGGTGATGAGGAGCCATGGAGGGTATGGAGATGAGGTGACACTGATGGAGAATTGGAGAGATGGACAGAGAAATAAGGGCAAATAAAGAGAGAAACAGAGAGCGAGGGAGGGACAGAGAAGAACACATGGAGAGACAGGTAAACAGTACATACACAGTGCATATGCATCTATCTCCTGCTTCTATGTATGTATCTACCCATCACCTATTCACCTATCATCTCTCTCTATCAATCTATCCTTCATCCATCGTCCATCATCTATCTATCCACGATCTATCTATTCATCTGTCTACCATTTACCCATCCATCGTCTAGTCATCTATCCATTTATCCAACCATCCATTATTTGTTTTTCTATTATCTGTCTATGTATCATCTATCTATCCATCATCTCTCTCACAGTTCATCCTGTCTATCAATCTCTCCTGAAGCTATGGACATACCCATTAATCGTACCATTTATGAATGAGAAACTGAAGCCACATCCCACAAAAGGGGAAGGAGGATGGATCCCCTCCTCAGGAGGTGTCCTCTCCAGTCCCTCAGGATGCCTCATCAGAGCCTGACCAATACTCCAGGTGCTCTAGGCAGGTGAATATAAGTTGTTTTCACTTTGTGACCTGCTCCGCACTCTCCAAGGACCCTGAAGCACTTGATGAGATCATTCCAGAGAAGAAGAGTGACTCAGCTGAGGTCACATAGCAAGCGGGACTGGAGAAGGGAAGACCACCCAAGGCCATGTTCAACACCCAAGCCCTTGGAGGGGGAGTCAGAGCTGTGGTAACTTTCTAACACTCCCTCTGACTCCAGAGCTTGCTGAGATTATTCCAAGAACCAGAATCTCAGCCAGACTTTAGGATGAGCCTGGAACCTCCAGTTCTGTGATAAGCTGGTGGAAGGTGTGGGGAAGAGAGGAGAGGAGCTGGTCACTCATCAGCTTTGGCCTTGGAAGATCAAAGGAGGTCATCGAAAGTTCACCCACACCCAGAACATGGCCTCCATCATGACGTCATCAAACATCTGTTAAGTGCATGGACACTGAAGATATTATGTCTACCCCTCAGGGCCATTAACCAATGGGAGAGATGGATAATAAATAATTAGACAATTAACCGTTTCAGTGTGAGCATGACCAAGTCAGAGGTCAAGGTCTAGGAGTCAAGAACAATTTCCATAAAGAAGTTATCTTTCAGCTGAAAGTGGGAGGATGAGAAGGAATCAACAAGGAATTGACAGGAAGGGAAGTGCTTCCAGTCAAACCAGCAGTGCAAGCCAGGCCCTGGGGTAGGAGGGGCTTGGCTCACTGAAGCAACAGAACAGAAGCTCAGAGTATCCAGGGTGTAGGTGGGGCTGGCAAGGGCAGGCAAAACTTAGTCTTTATCTTCAGAGTGATGGTCAGTCATCAAACAGTTTTTAACCAAGAAGAGACATGACCTCAACTAAATTTCAGAAAAATCTCTCTAGGCCTAAAGAGAGAGAGGATAATAGGAAACAAGAGCCAAAATGAGGAGACCAGAGAGGGAGCTGGGAGAGGCTTCAGGAAAAAGATGATGGTGGATAGGGCCAGCAGTGGTAGGAGGATGCAGAGAGGGGACAGGCTGAGGAGAGATTGTGGAGGCAACACAGCCAGGTGTGACAAAGGACCAGACGTACAGGTGAGAGAACAGAGGGGCCAGGAGACCCTAAAGGGTGGGTTGTGGGCAACTGGAAGGATGAACTAGATTAAGGGCAGAGGCAGAGTTGGGGATGGAGTCATAATTCAGATTCCGTCTTGGTGGAATAAGGTAGTTATGAGATTCCCATGTGAGGAGGGGAGGAAGGGGCCAGACACACAGCCTCAGACTCAGGGGAAACATGAACCTGGAATTCACTTATGCAGCGGGGACTAATAGTCTGCCTACTCAGGAGTTGGAGCCCTGGATAAGGCAGTGAGTGGCCTTGGGAGAGAAAGGAGGGGCTAGGACTCTGGGAGATTCCCACATGGAAAGGTGCAGTGAAGGAGGAGCCATGACTGGGACAGAGTCACAGGGCAGTCAAGAAAGATTAGGGCAGGGCCTCGAACTGGAACCAAGAAAACAAGGAGGTTCTAAGATGGCAGAGTGGTCAGCAAGGTCAGAGTTGCTTGGAGATGGACAAGATGGGACTGAGGGACCTGGAGTTCACAGGCCCCTCACTGGAGCATGATGGGGGTGGGCCAGACGGGATCGAGTGGGAAACGGAGGCAACAAGGGAAGACAAGCCTTTGTCCACGAGGAGAGAGCCAAGGAAGCAGACGGGAGGTTTTGTGCCGATTGCGGTGCAGTGGCGATGGGCGGGTGGGGGGTTAGCTGTCACCCTTCTGTCCCATTTCATGACCTTCTTTAGCATCAGCATGGAGAACTAATCAGACAACCTGGTGACTGAGCTCAAACGAGCAAAGCTTTTCCAAAGGACCGTGAAGGAAAGCTCAAATGACAAGAGACTTCAGCCCATGTGCAAAGGGTGGAATCCAAGCTAAATGCATCCAAGGAAGTGGAGTCAGAAGGAAGCAGTTGGTCTGGGATGGAGAGGGGAGTGGAAACATTGTCAGGCACTTAGATGGGAGAGGAAGAAGAAGAAAGAAGCTGGGAGGAAGAGAGGCTTCTGCTGGGAGGATGCAACACTCAGATCAGTGGCTTTGGAGGTAGAGCCTTCACAGGTGATGACAAAGTCCAAAGTGTGATTGTGGCAAGAGGGACAGGGTGCAGCATGGACAACATGTTTCTGGGGAGGAGGCCAGGAATTAGGGGCGGGCAAGAGCCCCCCCCCCCCCAGGAAGCTTGGCCTTGAGAGCAGAGGCCAGAGTGATTCCCTCTGAAAGGTGGAGTGGTAGACTTTGATCCAAATTGGGCAATGGGGCCCATGTAAAAACCCGGGGAAGGGGGAGTAGTGAGCAGGGTTGAAAGGCCAGAAGAGAGATGTGCCTGAGGAAGGGGAGGAGGAGAGACTCAGCCCAGCTCTGCCCCCGCGTGGGAAGGGATGGCGAAGGTCACAATTAATTCCTCTGGCGAAGCAGAGGCCCAGAGAGGAGCAGACACCGGCCCGAGGCCAACAGAGATGGGCTGGCAGGTAGAGGACATGGGGAGGCCTCTGGTCTGGTGGTGGGGACTGTGGGGACACCAGTAGACCTGGCTCTGTGCAGCCTGCCAAAGGAAACCCTCAGAAGTGCAGTGATGGGGAGGAACAGGCAGGAATAGGAGTTGGAGCAGGCTTGGGGTGAGGAAAGGTAAAAGCAAGGAAGGTTTCAGGGCATGGAGTGCACAGAGGATGGAACAGACCTGGTGGGGAGTGAGGAAAGAGAGCCCCCTCACTTCTCTGTTGCCCCAGACCTCAGCCCAACCACTGAACCCCATTCCCAACCCCTCGGGGAACCCACCCACCCTTATTCCTAGGACTCATTTTGCTGCCCACACTCACCAGGCCCAGGTGACCCAACAACCAGCTCCTCTTTGGGGGCTCTGGGAAACATCGGAGGCGGCGGCAGGTGTCATAGAAGGTGTAGGTCCAGGCCAGGACTCGGGCCAGGAGCCAGGAGGCCCCCAGCAGCAGCAGGAGTAGCCATGGGGAGGCTGCCAGTGGCCCCAATCCCAGCCAGGACAGACTCAGCTGTAGCATCCTGCAGGGCAGACAAAGGGGGGGGGGCAGGTGAGGGCAGGGGAGGCAGTAATAGGTGAGCTCAGAGGCAGAGACCAGCTCACAGACAGAGGGAGAGGGCAGAGGGAGTGAGGGACAGGGACACAGAGGGGCAGGTGAGTGCTGGGGACAGGGCAGGGAGGGCTCGGAGGTGGGTGAATCCAGGGGATCAGGAGAGAAGGGAGAGGGGAGACCCAGGGAAATGCAGAAGAAGAGGAACAGGAAGAGGCAGAAAGACAGAGAGGGAGAAGGAGAGAGAGGGAAGGAAAACGGAGAAAGGAAGACGACTGAAGAACCACCAAAAGGAATCAGCCAGTGGAAGGTTGCCAGGGGCTCCTGTGACAAGGAAATCATGCTCCCCCCAGGCCAGCTTGCTCCCTAGAGCCACCACTGCCTTGGCCAGCACCCTTCCCCACCCTGTCAGCCCAGCAGCCTCAGCCTGTACCTTGTGCCTAGAGCACCTAGTCCCAGGCAAGCTCTCCTTCCGCCCCTCTAGGTTCTAGGTTCCTGCCTGAACTCAGTCTAGAGAAGGCTGGGCTTGAGTCAGCCAATCCCTGCACACCAGGCTGCTTCCTCCTAGATGGCAGTCACCCAAAACTTGGAGCCAGAGCCTGCTGGGTCCCAAGAGGAACCGGCTCAGTTTTACAGGGTATGGGTGCTGGGTCTTCAGGACTCAGTGCCTCCCTTGTGGGGTGGAGGAGCAGGTTGGGGGTGGGCAAAAGTGACTCTGGGCCCCCAAATTTACTTCTTGCCCTACCCTGCAAAGGATAGGTTTCTAATGAGTCCTGTCCCAAGCATCTCCCCTGGGCCTCCAGGGCACGCAGCCCCGCCTCCAGGCAGCCCAAGGCCTGAGCTGGGACCTGAGTGCTGTGAACAAGAACAAAGAAACCAGCCTGGCTGGGGACTTTCCCATTAGATTCAGGGGTGGAAGGGCCCTTCGAAAAGAGGGCACCTGGAGGCAGGAGGGGTGGGTCTCTGGGGCCATGAGAAGAGGGTGCAGGCTGGGGAGGGCAGAGCTGGGAGACCCCGAGGGAGTTCTGCCTCTCCCTCACCTGCCACCTGGCTGTGCCGGACCCTCCCAGGCTAAGTCTCCCCATCTGGGATGAGAGCCCAAGAGGGGACACATGCTGTCCAGCTCCTTCCCACATTTCCCTGTGAGGGATTCTCAGCCCCTGTGAGGTCTCCCCACAGCCAGGCTCCAAAATGAGCATGAATTTGGAGAATGGGGCTGAGTGGAAAGACAGGGGCAGACCTTCCTCCCACAACTGATAGAATGTTATGGAAATGTCCAAACTTGCCCCGCAACCCCACCACCTTATTCCTTCCAGTCGTATGTGACCCAGCTGCAGGCGGTTGTTCCTGGAGCCCCCAGCAGGTTGGGCACACTGTCCTGGATCCTCCTCCTCATCTGCCGCTGGGTTGGGGCCACCTGCTGGCAGGTCCAACTGGAGAAGAGCCAGGGGCTCAGCCAGGGATGAGAGGCAGCAGAGCTGGCCTGGGAAGCCCAGGAAGCCGCAGGAGGAAAGAAGAAGCAGACATCTGGAGAGGCGCAGGACCTTGTACCTGCCGCACGACAAAGTCATTCAACCTGACAGCACAGGAGAAAGTGAATCCTGGCACAGTGTAGGTGGTCATTAACTGTTTAGGGAAGAAAGGGACTTAGGAGCCATGAGCTGAAGAACTGTGTGCTCAAAATGTGGTCCTCAGACCAGCAGCCTGGCTGTCACATGCAGCATCTTGGAAATGCAGAACCTCAGGCTCTAACCCAGACCCACCGAGGAGGTGACTGCAGTCTTTTTGCAGCTTTCCCCATGAAAAGGGGCTTGTTTTCCTTCTTGAATCTGGACTGGCCTGGGATGCTTCATCAATAGGATGTGGTACAGGTCATGCCATGCCAATGATGGCCTTGAGGATAGCTGGCAGCGTACACTTTTATTTGCTCACAGGACATGTCAAATGCCATAAGGAAGCTGAGGCCACGTGGAAAGTCCTCACACGTGTAAAACTCATCAACAGCCCCCACTGACCTCCCTGCTGCGACAGCCAGTTATCAACTGCCAGCTGTGTGAGAGAGACGTTTGGACCGTCCAGCCCCGTGGAGCCTCCAAACGACCACCTGATGTGCAGAATCATAAGAGAAAATAAAATGGTCATTGTTTTAAGCAACTAAGTTTGGGGGGGGCTCTTTGTTATGTGGTGATAGCTCACTGATACACCAACTGCATCTCTCTCTCTCAATCTCTCTCTCTGTTTGCTGGGTGAGGGCTGTCCACAATAATTAGCCTGACTACCACCACACCCACAGGAGGAAACTTGGAAAGTGTGGCGTGTCATAAAAAGAAGTCATTTGTCACAACTCCTTCCCAAGTAGTACAATATGTATACATATATATATAATCTTGAGAAAAATATACACCATAACGTAAGTTTGTATAAGTCTTAAGCTATAAATGTGCATATAAGATTTATATCACACATAAATCTTAGGATAAATATAAGTGTATATAGAAGACTGATAGATAATACATATACAGAAATGATAGCTAGACAGATGATATAGGTAATAGACAGGTGATGAATACATCATGGATGAGTGGATAGATAAATTGATGACTGATAGATAGATGCTATTAGTTCTGTTTCTCTGGAGAACACTGACTGACTCAGAGGCAAATCTAATTCCTCTCTCACTGAACCTGAGCTGTCCTCAGTGTCTTCTGGGACCTGGAATCTAGATCACAAGAAGACTTGCAGCTTCCTTCCAGGCCCCTTGGAATTCACCCTCCTGGACACAGCTACCATGTGGAGAGAAAGCCCAAGCAACCCCATGGAGAGGCCCTGCACTGGCAGGAACTGAGGATCCCAGCCAGCAGCTGGCACCAGATTGCCAACCACGAGACTGAGTTCTTTTGGAAGTGGATCTTCTGGCTTCAGACAAGGTTCCCAGGTAAGGCCACACAGAGTAGAGAAAACCAACCCAACTGAGCCCTGACAAATTGCAAATTGGTGAGTAAACTAAAATTTGTCAATTGAAGGTACTAAACTTCTTGGTAGTTTATTATACAATAATATTCTAACTGAAACAAATTATATTTTTTCTAAAGATTTTATTTACTGCCCTAGCCGGTGTGGCTTAGTGGATTGAGTGCCTGTCTGCAAACCAAAGGGTCATGGGTTCAATTCCCAGTCAGGGAACATGCCTGGGTTGCAGGCCAGGTCCCCAGCTATGGGTGTGTGAGAGACAACCATACATTGATGTTTCTCTCCCTCCCTTTCCCCTCTCTCTAGAAATAAATAAATAAAATCTTTTTTAAAAGCTGCATCACTTAAAATTTTTTTATTTACTTATTTTTTGAAAGAGGGGAAGGGAGGGAAACAGGGAGAGAAACATCAATGTGTGTTGCCTCTCGTGCACCCCCTACTGGGGACCTGGCCTGCAACCCGAGCACCTGCCCTGATTGGGAATTGAAATGGGATCATTTGGTTCATAGGCCAGAGCTCATTCCATTGAGTTACACCAGCCAGGACCAGATTGTATTTTTTAATATGTTTGGAATCCTCAAAAAATGATTACGTGTGGAAGCACTGAGATCTTGCTCACTGGCATATGTCATCAGTTTGGCTCAAATGAATTCTTATAAAAAATTCTCTTGTCCTGACTAGTGTGGCTTAGTTGGTTGGGCATCATCCCACAAAGTGAAGGGTCGCCAGTTCTATTCCCAAGTCAAGGCACTTGTCTGGGCTGTGGGTTTGGTCCACAGATAGGGAGTGTACGAGAGGCAACCGATCTATATTTCTCTCCCTCTCTTTTTCCTACCTTCCCTCTCTCTGAAAGTAAATAAATAAAATCTTTTTGTAATTCTCTTTAAAAATACTTATGTATACATAAGCATATGTATATGTGTGTATGTGTATGTATGTATGTGTATGTATTTCATGTATATATATATATGAAAATGTACATATATGCAATATTTAAAACTAAAAAAAAATCAAACCAAACTGCTGGACTGGGGGTGGGGTGCAGAAGTAGAATTTCCCTTTAAAATATTTACATTTACAACTTTTTTTACACCAAGCCCATGCAATATTTGGAGATAGGAGATAAATAAATAAAAGGCTTATAACATTCCCTTGACACACAGTCAGTACCAAGCATGTGTTTGCCATTATTTCTCTTATTTTGTGACAGAATGAAGGCACAGGAACTGGCCACAAGTGAGTCTAAGGACCTCTGGTATGCACTCCATGGACTTTACTAACTGTGAAGGATCCCTCCAGGCTTTGCAAGGAAGAGGGCTTCCAGGAGGGAAACAAGCACTGGACTTGGGGTCAGAGGGCCCAGGGTCAAAGCTCCGCTTTGCCACTCTCCAGCTGTGGACCTTGGGCAAGCAACTTGCCCTCTCTGATCCTCACACCCCTCCTCAGTACAAGGGGCATATTAACAGGCCCATGGGGATTGGGGATTGGGGATTGGGAGTAATAACAGGCCTGTGTGTGTGTTAGTGTGCATTCCCTGGAAGCAGACTGATACAAGGATTCAGGGGCAAATATTTTATTCTGAAGCAAAAATTCAACACAAGTGGCTTCTTTGGGAGATGATCTCAGGAAATAACAGTAGGGCAGTCAAAAAGTGAGACTGGGAAGGGAAGGCAGCAGGGAAAAGTGCTTTAGAAAGGAAGTCCCACTGTGGGCACCTGGGGCTCAGTCCCTCTGGGGACCTCTGGGAGAGAGCAGAGAACAAGCACCCAACCATCATTAGTCAGGGCTGCTGCAATCACGTTATTTCTTCTGAATGTCCCGCTTGCCGCAAGGCAGGATGGGGGACCGGGCAGGGGCTCCTGCCTTGAGCAAGGAGCATAGCCCGTTTTGGACAGTTACAGTCATTCAGTGAGTGGGGGTCTCCCCTCCTCTCTCCCCAACACACCCAGCCACACAGTCGCACACACAGTCTCTCATACACACATACTCGCTAAATGGAGCCGTTAACTCCTTAGAGCCTGTCGCCCCCGAACGGTCCAGCAGAGGGAGTCTATGACACGCTCAGGACTGAAAGGAGGGCCCCTCAGGAGTCTGAGTGAGCAGCAGGTGTGTCTTACGAGTCACACCCGTGGGTGGAGCCCAGTCCTGAGCCTAACAGACCCCAAGCCTCCTGTTCTGTCTCATTCATTCACCAAGACCCTAAGCAGAAAGTCAACGTGCATTGCAAGAATTACGATCCAGTAAAATCCACGGGAGACCCGAAGTGCAGAGAGGGGCAGTCGCGTGCCAAAGCCACCGCAAGGATCAGAGCCTGGGATTGAACCCATATGTGTCACCTCCGAAGGTCAAGATATTTTTTGCTGGCAGATGACGGGTTTGCACTGAGGCATTGGTCGGGGGCGGAGGGGTGAGGTTGAGGGAGGCCTGTGCGATGTTTGGAGAAGGACGAGCACTGGGAGAACCTCCTTTGGGACGGGAGTGTTTGAGAGGCAGTGTCAGCAAGAGCCAGTGGTTTCTTCAGGGTCCGGGGACCACATATCTTCAA